CAATTGTTGTTTCGCTTGTGCAGGGACGTCATCTATAATGTCAGCCTGCATGGACTGAGGGAGATCAGCCGTTTGGAATGGCACAGCACGGATGCGGACAGGGAGCTGTGCGCCCTGAAGGGCAAGCACGAATGGGACTGCCATAATTACTTGCGTGTCTTTGCAAAGCGGACCGATGGCCAGGTGTTGCTCTGTGGCACCAATTCGTATAAGCCGCGCTGTCGTCACTACGCCCAGGTTGAGACTGCGGCCGAGGATGCTCCCGCCTCCGGCCACAGCATTGGCATGCACTATGAGATCACCAGAGATGTCGAGGCCCAAGGCTTGTGCCCCTACAGTCCTGCCCACAATAGCACCTATGCCTTTGCCGATGGCCAGCTGTACAGTGCCACGGTGGCGGACTTCTCCGGCGGAGATCCACTGATCTACCGCGAGAACCTTCGCACCGAGCAATACGATCTCAAGCAACTCAATCAGCCGGACTTTGTGGGCACCATCGAGCGGAAGGGCTTCGTGCTGTTCTTCTTCCGGGAACTCTCGATGGAGTTTATGAACTTTGGCAAGGCCGTCTACTCGCGGGTGGCACGCGTCTGCAAGAACGATCGTGGAGGTCCCTACAACCATGGCAAGAGCTGGACCTCGTTCCTGAAGGCCCGTCTCAACTGCTCGGTGCCTGGGGACTTTCCCTTCTACTTTGATGAAATCCGTAAGTCCAAAAATCGCTTTTAGTGGCAAAATTCCATTCTCATTCGTTTTATTTCTCATCTGCAGAGGCCATTAGTCCGATTGTGGAGCGTGGAGCGGATTCCCTGGTGTATGCAGTCTTCACCACCTCGGTGAACGCCATTCCCGGTTCGGCAGTGTGTGCCTTTAACGTGGAAGATATACTGGCGGCCTTTGATGGAGATTTCAAGTCGCAGAAGGATTCACAGTCCCATTGGCTGCCGGTGGAGAGGGAGGCGGTGCCCAAGCCGCGTCCCGGCCAGTGCGTGGATGACTCCCGCACCCTGACCAGCATCGCGGTGAACTTTGTCAAGAATCATCCGCTGATGGAGAAGGCCGTGCCGGCAGTGCACAGGCGTCCCCTGCTGACCAAAGTGAATCTGCACCACCGTCTGACGGCCATTGCAGTGGATCCTCAGATCAAGGCCCTCAACGGTGCTACCTACGACGTGATCTACAGTGGCACGGACGATGGCAAGGTGACCAAGTTCATCAACATTCTGAGCACGCACCCGAACTCTACTGTGGATCGCCTGAAGACAGTCGTCATATCGGAAATGCAAGTGCTGCCATTGGGAACGCCCATACGGGAGCTTGTGATCTCCTCCAAGAAGAACGCCCTGGTTGTGGTGAGCGACGGAAGCCTGGTCAGTGTCCCTCTGCATCATTGTACGCTCATTGTCGACTGCGCCGGCTGTCTGAGCCTCCAGGATCCCATTTGTGCCTGGGATCTGCAGACGCACGAGTGCAAGAATCTCGCCACCAGTCAGCACAAGTTTGGCACAAAGACGTACCTGCAGAGCCTGAACACCACCAGGAAGGCGGCGGCCTCCCTCTGCCCCAATATGCCCCGTGATGGCACAGGCGCTGAAACTGTCAGCTTTGTTACCATGGCTCCAGCACCAACGGAGGAGCAGAAGCTGCTGTATTCCAATGTTGGCGCCTCGCCGGGCAGTCAGCCCAGCTTAGAACAGCAGCCAACTGGTGGCGACGACTTTGGGATGAATAAGATTACCCTGACCTCAATGGACCCCGAGGAGGTTATGATTAATCTGAACGGTAGGTTGCCCTCTTTTTTTTATTGATGATGCTTGCTCTAACAAATATTTGATCCTGCCCAATAGATCCACAGAAATCGATAGCCAGCGTGGACGAAATAAAGCAAGCGTCCAGTCCAGGCACCATGCTTCTCTTGTTTGTCGTTTTCATCACCTTCTTTGTGGGCGGATGCGTGGGCATTGTGTGTGTGAAAGCGAAGAACCGCCTGGATGGTCAAATGGACGACAGCCACCACAACCACTTTGGCAAGCCTATGTAAGTGGCACATTTCTCTTTAGCTGAGAGCTATTTTCACGTTAATTTATTTTCAGACAATTTAAAAACCAGAATACCGGCAAGGACATCAATCTGCTAATGGGTTCCAATCCCTATGTCACCACACAGAAAACGCCGAATTTGGATCTTGAAAAGGATCGCAGTCATGAATGCAAAAATTCCACAGAACATTTGGAAAAGGAGCTGCCCTGCAAGACGTCCACGCTGACGAAAGTGAAACGCACTTACATTTAATGTGGAAGCAGCAGCAGTAGCAGATCCCTCTGCAAAATTAGTCGAATTTCTCTATATATTCTATAACATATTTTCGTTGTTTATGTTGCTCTGTTAGTTGTACGAGTAGTAACCCCCCCACCACATCCCTCGAACGGAACAGACAACAGCTTCGGGGATGCGTTTGAAACGCATCTCAAGAGTACGGCGCAGAAGCTGTTGCACCATTTTTTATATGTTAGCGTCCCTAATATAATTTAATTGTATGTATTAATTGTTTAAGTTAAGGTTATTTGGCAAAATTTAGTTAAATTTATTGACAACAAATTTCGCGGGCTGCCTTAGCGCGGGCCCAAGCAATCCGCATTCCCTTCACGCCGACTTTTTCTGTCCAAGCTGGAATGCTTGCGCCCCGGGCTAAACGAGTATCAGCCCCGACATGTCGGGCCCCTTATGTGTATTCTATATGTATATTCTGTAAGTGCAAATATTAGAGCTGTACAAATCTACACACATACATATCATAGTACCCAATCAGCATGTGGCCGAGAGAGACCCCCAGAGAATCCCAACCCGCAGCTCGAATAATTTCTCGAAATTCAAACGAATATTCTGCAAGTATTTTGTTAGACTGAATGTTTATTTTTTTCTGTATAATTGTGTGTTTTTGTGGAGAACTAACATGCGAGTGCGATTGCGAATGCGAACGATATAGACCGGGAAGGTCTATGCTTTGTGGCTAACAAAAGCGTAAAAATTGTATCTAACATAAGCTCAATAAGGAATTGAAAATTTAAATGTATTTTTTATAGTACGAACTAGGCTAAGCTACGAACAAAACTTCTATGAGGCTGTTTGATATGAACTGAGTGCACAGCCCCATCATCATTATTATGTTCATCATGATGATTAAAATACGCACAAAAATACAAAAACGAAAAAAAAAACCAATAAAATGTAATCTGATGAAACAGCAAGCCTTATAAGTAACATACAATCGTGTCGATTATAGGCCTTAAATATAACGAAGAGTCTGGCAAAGAAAAGTTTGCCAGAATAAATCAGCATTTTAATATTTTTAGTATGTCTACGTTTTAAGCTGTTGTCCGTCCCACTGAAGATTTTACATAAAACATGTACAATGGCAATTCTATTTTATAAAGTGTAAAATCCAATTTTCGTAAAAATAATATATATATTTTTATATGCATGTGTACGCCTAGTGTCTAAAGAATCTAAGCATAAGTAATCCATAAACGGAAAACATGAAAAAAGCTTCACATAAAATATTTTTAAAACCTGGAAAAAGGAACATAATCGTAAAGGAAAAAATTCTCATATTGTGATAGATTTTATTGAAATTTTATAATGATGAAATGCGATGCCTTTTTGGTTGAAAAACGATGATAGAGTCTGATTGCATGCATGATAATATACATACCTGTAGGCCAGGATCTTCCGATTGGAGGATCAGATCACAAGATGGAAGCAATTCCACGATGGGAATTCAAAAGATTTTTATTATTGTGTGTGTCTTGTATTTTGTATATTGTTGTATACACCCGGTAAGCAATTCGAAAAATTTAATAAAGTCGTCATTTTTTCAAACACTGCGAATCATTTTTAGGGATCCCTTAAAATTTGTTTTTATATGTGGTTTTATATATAAGTCCATACAATACTTTCCAGATCGGCCGCTGTATAGCGAAAATAAGGCGTTCGTATTCCGTATAGAAGATTCCATTATATTGGGCTTTATTTTCAAAATAATTTATATATTCCAAATAACCAAAATAATCAGCCTACTAATCTGCCCATTTGTTACAGTAAATGAAAAATATGAATTTTTCCAAAGAGCACAGTCATTTTTGGTCGAGTTGAGCATGCAATTAAAGAAAAGGTTGCCTTTTAACGAGAAGGTTTTTAAACTTCTCTCATTCCTAAACCCTGAAGACATAGTCAATGGCCAATTGGCATGACCTGTATAAAAGATTTCCTCAACTTATTAAAGATCCGCAGGGAATCGATAGTGAATTTGTCCTCTTAAAAAATGATGAGGTTCTTTAGTTTATTAAAAACACACAAATGTCCTGGCCATTTCTGGTATACATTAGGACAAATAAAAGATTTCAACAATGAATTAAAATATGAAAATATGCACAAGTACTGCTTATATTGCCAGTTTCGAATGCAATGTGAAAGAATGTGAAAGAATTTTCTCCGAAGTGAACTTAATAAAAACAAATACAAGAAATAGATCTAAGAATATAAATGTTTCAAATCTTTTATATGTGAGGCAAGGTCTAAGGAAGAACAACGGTTTCGAGAATTTTGAACTGAACACTGAAATGCTCTTAAAAAATCCCAACGACATCGTTAGTGACGATAGTGATGTTAGTGATTAGTATTAAGACTTATTAAGACTTAAGATTATTAAATGAAATGAATTAAACAATTATTTTGAATAGGCCAATCAAGTAGGAAATAGATTCACCAATCGTATAAAATTATGTGGGCATGTCTAAATGTTATATATAGCTAGTAATATTCGTCGGAATATCAAAAACGAGGAATATGTAAAATATAACTTGAATTCGTCAGTATATTTACGGTATATTTTGAAAATGAGGCGGTATGTTTCAGTATATTCTGAGGGTCGGACGGTATATTTTATCGATAAATCCGCGGTCACACTGATCAATACCGTCTACAGCACATTTTCTAGAATTTTGACAAAAAGGAAATCCTACAATAATTATATAACAAAATGAACAACCTGAGGATAGCCACACTACGATTCTCCAGCCTGGCCACCAAGGCTACTGGATCCCTGGGAAAACGCGACTTCACTCGGAGTCTGTGGCACATGACAAAGAAGCCGGCGACAGGAGCATCCAATGATCATGTAACCGTATTGAATGTCCACAAACCCAGCATTAGTTGCACGTGTGGCTGCAATGTACACACCAAAGGTAGGCTTTCATTGAAGAAAAACCGATAGTGAGGGAAACATGCCGCATGTTACATAACCTCAAACGCCAGATGATGAAATGTGAGGCAAACCATAATTAATTTATCTTTCTATAGCTGAAAAGGAACTGGTGGAGTGCCTCGCCGAGGAGATCGTGGCCGAGCGCAAAGTGCAGAAGGGCAAGGCTGTTTCCAGCACCCTGGATGGATTCAATGTGAAGATTGTGGGCGGCGATGTGGAGCTCATCAAGGAGACCGACAAGGAGAAGGTCGTGGTTAGCTTCAACGTGAACCATACGGTTGACACCGAGGAGGAGCCGGAGGTCAATCCCAATGCCGACAAGCCGGAGCTGGGAGAAATGAGGAGCAAACCCCAGTTTGAGGTCGATATTATTAAGAGCGGGACTACGCTCTCGTTCACATGTTCCTACCTTCAGGGCGAGGCCCAGGAGGGTGAGTACAGTAAGTATACCTAATTTACTATATTTTGAATCTAATTAATTGGCTCTCCTTTGCAGATGACGTTTTCTCCATTGACGAAATGTCCATCTTTGAGGGCGAATGGAACGACAAAGTCTATGCCGTGGCTGGCGATGTTTTGGACGGCTATTTATATGATTTGCTCTTAAACTACCTGGAAGAGAAGGGCATAAGCCAAGAGTTCGCAGAGAAGCTGTCCGACCTGGCCACTGCCCATGAACACACCTCCTATATAGGATTGCTGGAGAAGCTCTCCAAATTCACGGCGGGTGGCAAGTAAATGCCTGGATTGCATTTTTCCCCGCCTAATCGTAAAGCAGAAAGTTGTTTAGATTTATAAGTTCCATCGTCTGCTGCCCCAGTTCATAGCTAAACACATTTTTTATCATGCGTGTTTGTAGTTGTATTGCGGCAGTTGTCCTAGTTAATAAGTTTAAAACATTTATTCACCTTTAATGTCGTGCGGGCAAAGCTCTTCCCAATCTGTACCATTCGTGGCAATTGCTTAATGCTCGATTTCATGAAATACAGCAAGAGTATATAGTTTAGTTTTCAATCAATTGTTTATTTTTTCAATAGAATTTTCCACTTTCACGGTTGTCAGTTATGCGTAGGAATTGGATGGACGGGATCTGGGCTCAGAGTCCCATGGCTTGTGGCCTGGAAAGTCCTCATGGTTCTTGCAGGCTGCGCAGATGACCAGAGCCAGCATCACGAGTATAGGCAGCAGTTTCATCTTGAATGTTGTACAGTGAACTTTTTATTGTGTCGTCGAAGCTGTGTCAGCCGCTCTTTATATGATTCGATGAGGGTGTTATCAGCACACGTTCTTTCCCTAATGGGAAGTACTCGACCATGCTCTGGGATTCACCATGGACCCGTTTATCAGATACGACAGAGGCTATGAAAGTTGCATTGCGACGTGCTGGCAAGTTATTTTATGTACAACACTTTAATTCATGCATAAATTAACACCTGTAGTTGACTATACTTTTGAGCTTAATGTTTAACTAATATTTGCTAAATAATTTAATTAGTATTTGGGCTATTGTAGGACTTAAAGATTTTGAGTAGGAGCTTCTTCTGGCACGCTTGCCCCTTACACCTCGCCGAAAACTAGGCCGACCCCCTGCGCTTGCGTTGGCGTTGATGGCCAAGGCTTTGGCCTTCCAGGCTGCTTACAGAATCAAATCCGTAGCCAGGCTGTTCAGCTGGTGTCATTGGTCAACTCTTGCTCTGCTGTTTCCCGGAGGAGCTGCCGGTTTTCTCGTACTCTGAATTCGTAGTGTACTCCGTGTCGATTTCTCGCAACTCTATCTTCTGCTCCCGCATGGCGCGCTGGAGGGCGAAGGTCAGGAGTGCGTTAACATTAATGCGTTATCAGGTGATGAAAAAATAGCACCCACCTTCACACAATCCTGATAGACCCGGAAAATCGGCGCGCATGCAGATTCGTCTGTGTGGCCCTTAAGAAACCTCTCCGAGAACCAGCTGTTGAAGCAAGCGTCGTACTGCTTTTTCAGCTCATTGCACTCCTCGCCAATGCTGTTCATTTTGAAATTTTAACTTATAATTTATTGGATGTTAAATAATGTGTCGAAATGTGAGGGTGTATGCGGCCACACTTATCAGAACATACATATGGTCACTATACATTCGCAGATAATTTTAGGGATGGGACCAGAGCCACACACCGATATCTCCATTTCAATAATCGCTATCGGAATGGTTTTCGACAACAAATTTTCGTTCTTTGAAACACATTTTCTTACTAAATATTCTTTAATTTTTTTTTACCATGTTTGTTTTATTAAAAACACACCAGCGATACACCTTCGTTCTTTTCTTTTTATGGTTTTTAAGTTTTCCGTTACAGGTTGATACAAAATGCTATGATCGATTTTAAGTTCTTTAACTAATGAGCGCTAAAACAAATTCATTTGGGACTTGGCAACAACACAATGGGCAATGATGGTGGATTAAAGCAGACCTCCGACTCAGCTCTGTCGGGAACTGAACTGAGTCGGAGGCCTGGCTGCAGCTAACACCAAGAGTTGTCCATGACCATTCCATTTTAATAGTTTTGAAGAGTTACAAATTTGTTGTTCTGTTTGCTGTTGGTTTTTACGCAAGCAATCGCCCACTGAGGATGGCTGGGTTGGCGTCTACTCTTCGTCGATGGTTTGGACTTGCTGTTGCTGCTGCTGTTGTTGGTTCTTGTGATGTCCACGCTGGTTGCGGTTGCGCTGATTGCGATTGTCCCGTCGCTGGCCGCCCCAGTTGCCGCCCTGGTTATTCTGGTTGCGGTTGTAGCCGCGGTCCCCACGATTGCCCATGTTGCCGCGCTGGAAGAAGTTGCCCTGCTTCATATCGAAGACCTTCTCGTTAACGTCCACCAGATTGGTCACCTTGTCGACAAACTGCATGGCCAGTGCCTGGAGGCGGGACGGCTCTGAGCGGTGCATGACCACAGTTTCCGAGGGATCGTCCAGGCTGGCCATCAGCTCCTCGTTGATGATCATCTTGCTGATGATCGAGTGGACCTTCGGGACGGGCAGCTCGTACATCTGAGCCAGGGATGGTATGCTTATGGAAGTGTAGACATTGGAGTACGTGAACAGATAGGTGCGCAGCGACTCCTCCTTGATGAACTTGACGAGCATCTCACGCACGCGATCCGACTCGTAGAACAGATCCCACACCTTGGTGTTCATTTTCTTGTTGACAATAAAGTTGGCGCAGGCCTGCCAGTTGCCGCAGCGCATCGCCTTGGCGGCAGCCACAACGTGCTCCCTCATGGATTCGGGGGGACCTACCAGGGATTGACGCTCCGAGGAGCGCAACTGCTGGTAGAAGGTCTTACTGATCATGCGACGGCGGGCATCGAACTCGTGCGCAGCAATGTAGGGAATCTCCAGCAGCATGGCGGACACCAGATAGACACACTCGAGCAGCTCCAGATTGATGTGCATGTGGAATGGCATCTGGCGCTGTTTCTCAATTTTCTCCTGTTCGGCGGAGCGTTCGTGTTGACGCTGTGGCAGCAGGCCCTGAGCCAGCAGTTCTTTGGGCTTGCCGGTGACCATCAAGTCCACCAGACAGTGATGGGCATCCTTGACGTTCTCCTGACGGAAGGCACACAGACCCAAGTTGGCCATCATGCGGTTGTACAGGATACGCGTGGCAGGATCGGCGGCATCGATGTTGTCCTGCAGATGAGACATGAGGACCAAGTCGCGAGCCTGGAACCAATTGTCGTGCATGGCATGGTGATAGATGTGCGCCAGGATAGCCCGAGTTCGGATGCGATCGGTGTCGTCCTTGGCATAAATGAACTTGCACAGTTTATCCATCACGTCCACCGAGGTGGCTGTGGTGGCGGGCACCTCGCCACGCTTCTTCTTGAGCACCTCCGGATCGAATTTGTAGTACAAGTGCTCGATCTTCCTCAAGTAGATTCTGCAGCGTTCGTTGGGGTTGCCGCATTGCTCGAAGTATTGCAAAACCAATTCAATAGTCTTCACCACGTTCATCTCGTCCTTCAAGCGCGAAACATAATCGTTTGAGTGGGGATCGCATTCCTTCAGCAGCTTGGTGAACTCGTCATCCAGACGCTCAACGGCGGCCAGTGGGCAGCCACGGATATAAAACGGAGCCGTGATGTATTCCTCGTGCTCCTCGGCGACGCTCTCGCTTATGCTGATGTCGGCGTTGGCCAGGAGCAGCTTCATCATGCTCTGCATTACCTCCAGCAGCAGGGCCCAGTGCTCCATCTTCATGGGCTCGGATATCTTTTGATTGTAATCAAAGATGGCAGAGATAATGTTGAAGTGGATCTTCACCGAGACGGGCACGCCCAGGTTATGCTGATCGGAGATGTCTCTCAGCTCGAAGAGCAGATCGATTTGCAGGCGACGATCGGTGCGCTTCTTGCCACGGGCCGACATGATCTCCACTAATTTGGCAAGAACCAAGGGAATATCGATCTCGGCGTCCTTTTCGAACATCTTGGGCTTCTCCACCACATGACCCTTGACAACCGTCTCCCATTCGCCATCTTCATCATCTTCGGCACGCTTGCGGATCTTCAGCTTCTGCTCCTTACGCTTATCCTTCCGCTTGTCATCGTCTCCCTTGTCTTCTCCCTTCTCAGTGGATCTCTTCAGGAAACGCTCACGCATATTCTGGTACTGGTTCTCGTCCTCGGAAGACTCGGTTTCACTCTCCGAATCGGAGTCCCAATCAATGGAATCGTCCGAATCCTCATCATCGGCGGGAACCGACTTGGCTGGAGCAGATTTGGCGATCTTGGGAGCAGTCACCGACGCCTCCTTCTTGAATCCCGCATAGCTGTCATCAGCAGCCTCACCCGCATCGCTCACATGGGCCTCTTCGTCTTCAGCTTCACTCTCCTGGTCGGGTGCTTCGCGGAAGCGTGACAAATCCTCCTCGAAATCCTTGATGTACTTGCGCACCTTTTGGCGCAGAGTGCCCAGGGACTTGGTGTTGTTCTTGGACAGATTCCTTCGGCCCTCGCGGTCCTCCCAGATCTCGTTGATGAAATCCTCCAGTTCCGCCAGGCAGCGAATGTAGAAACGAGGCGTAATGCCATTTTCCTCCTTTGAGATGACGGGCAGGGCCTTGGTGTAGGCGCGCGTTAGGTCCTCGAAGCTGCTCAAGGTATTCGGTATATCCTTGATCTTCTTGTGGTTGCGGATGGTCTTGATGATACTGGTTAGGTTCTCGTACCGCTTCTCCTTGGTCGAGCGAACCACGCGCTTGACTTCCTCCTCATCGTCGCTGAATTGCTAGGGGAGGGGATGGGCAGATGATGATGAATATTTTGCCTCAACTTGCTTCCTCTTATACTTACAAAGGCGGAGGCTTTGTTGAAGTTTGGCGCCTGGACCTCCTCCTCACTGGACTCGGATTCCGAGTCGGAACCGTTGGCAAAGAAACGTGACATGTTGTTTAGTTTCTACGCAAGCCGTTTGTCTACACTGCACCTGGAATGACAATGTTTTAATATCCACAGCCACATAATTTGGAACGGTGTTGAGGTTATGTATAAGCGGCCAACATGGCGTTTTGCAAAAAATGCATGCCACAAATTTGCCAATGAGACGTACAACCCTGTGTAAAACTACAATTTAATTCACTGCCGGCACGCTTTTCGCTCGTCGCGCAACCACTTGGCATTGTCAGAACACACGTTAAATCAAATAAACTTACTATTTTTACAGCAAAAAAACGATGTCGAATGCACAAGACATCTAAAAGAGAGGAGACGAAGCGTTTTGATATATTTGTACGTGATTTCGTAAATATCGATAAGTATTTTTAAAAGTCACGATGTGTGGAACAGTTATTTTCATATTAGTTTGTATATTAATATATTTCCAAAAGCTGAACTTACATTTTGGCATAAAATTAATTTCATAGGCACATATTTTAGTGAGTGATTAGTTTTGGAATTAAAGAATTCAAGTCAATTTTGAACAGATGAAACTATGAGATACCCGAATTTATACGATATTTGCTATCGATAAGAAAAGTGCGGGGCAATCGCGTTTATCTAAATTAGTGTATTCAAAAATATGGGCAAGAACAGAAACAAAAGTTGTTTTTTTTTTACTTGTAAAGGTATTTAAAATCAAATTTAAAACTGGTGGGAGGTGCCCAACTGTGGCAACATTATAGCTGGCAGCATGTTGCAGCGCATGCGTCGGTTGTACTACCGGCATTTCAGAACCAAACAAGTTCCAGTTCCCCAAACCCCACCGTCAATTTGGCGCCCATTCAATCCACGGATCATTTTGTATGCGCGTAAGTTTTTTGGCCGCCAAACGCTTTCGCGCGCGCCAACAAGTCGCATGCGTTCCCTCCTGCTCGGACAGTTTAAATCCAGCGAAGCCAACGTCCGGAAAATATACTTAATTCAAATGAGTGTTTGCGATATTCAGGCGTTGAGGCCAATATCCGGTTGATTCGATTCAAGTGCCAAAAAGAATTCAATAAATTTTGTTGAGCTCTTCCCCCGTGTTTGTCCGCTCGTGTGTGGTGTTGTAAACAAAATTTGGCCAAAGTGCTGAGTGTGTTCGTGTTTCCCACTTAACATTACGCTCTTCCGTATCCTGTCTGAGAGTGCCAGTGGGGTAGGGAGTGATGCCGATGTTCGCGCGTGTGTCTGTTTTAAACACGGAAAACACTTTTCCGCAGATGTAAGCATAATAAACCATAATTGCAAATAGAGGTAAGTGTGTCGCAAATGGTAAAATTATAAATCGATCGGTGGCATCACTTGTCTCGCCTCTGACAGCTGACATTCCAGTTCTATTATCCGGGAAATGCAATAAATTCACTTGCACTTACCGACATTTGAATCGTGAATACAAATAGTGCGGGTCGGGCCTCGATACTGAAACAGGAAACTGAGGGGAGAAGGCATGAAACAATCAACTGCACCTAAACTGCAGTCGTCCGTACGGAAAAACGGATATATGCATTCGCATCGCAATCGACAGGAACGGACCTCCGTGTCTGGCGGTTCTGTTTCTCTTTCCGGTCCACTTCGGCTTGTGTTTATTCCGTTTCCGCCTTTCGTTTTTTTTCGGATCTGGGTCTATAAATCGTTGACTGGCAATTGTAAAAACTAGCTAAAGAAATTTGCATCTTAGTGCCATTTTTCTTATTGATTGGATCGCATCGTTTCCATATGAAGAAGTACACTCGGAATCCTTCCATATGACATGAACATTTCAGTGGAAACTACTTTTTATCCCCATTTAAGACCCAAGGCCATTAACGTTTCAGTCGAGCCAAAGTGTCGGAAGCCAGAATCTTGTGTTTGTGTTTTATTTTGGGTCTCGGGAACACCCTTTTCATGCTGCAAGCCAGACCACAAGCCAACCCCAGAGGAAAACTCCCAAGTTAATGAAAAGAAAAAAGGGAAAACCGAAACAACACAATCTCCTGGCCACTTGAAAATGCACAGAAATAAGAGAAATATGGCATGGTGGGAACGGTCTACGAGATGCCAAGGGGTGGAATAGTATAGTATGGAAAATGGGACACTAAAATGCAAGTGCAAGCGCAAGTGCAGGGACGGCATGGCGCGTGCCATTTATTAGCCTTTGGCAGCACGGGCTCAGGGGCACAGGCCAGACAGGCAATGACCATTAACAAAAGCTACGAGATCAGGGTGGAATCCCAATGGTTTATGGCGCTTCATTGCCCAATTGTTGTCCCTTCCACCTCCCACCGTCCAACACCCACCCACACGAAGACTATATTGTCGAGTCCCATAAACGAGGGCGTGCTTCATGACACGATCTAGTCCATCTAGTCCGTCGAGCTTCAATTTGTTTACAATTAACGGACGCGACAGCAAAACAATCTAACGAATATAAACAAATAGCCTGAAGACCATGCAAATTGATCAAATCGCACCCATCCCATCACACCCCATACGAGTATACATAGCTCCCTATTTCGTGGACTTTGTTATGTTTTGGGATGCCTACAAAAACTAAAAGATTTACCCTGCCAACATTTTGCTTGGCAAATTTTGTAAAAGCAAATGAAAATCGTAAAATCTGATCAATAAATTCCTGCAATTGCTTTGGCGCCTACCAGCGAAAAGCTCAATTAAAGACAATGTTTATATAGTATAGTTTAATGGTAATGGTAACGGTAATGCCGGAAAGCAGGAATACGTTTATCGAAGGGAGGCCCAAATGGACAAACATTTGGGTTGTTCGAGTGAACAAATCCTCGCATAGATAAGGACCAACCCAACCGCCTCCTGGCTACCTTTGAGTGTGGATTCAGTGCCATGAAAAAGTTCACCCCTATAAATATGTTTATTGCACGATATTTATGTATTTAGGTTGCCCCTGATTTATGTTTGGCCACATGCCACTCCCCCCCACAGAATAATTTGATATGCATCTTTGGGGCTCCTCGTTTGCTGTAGTTTATGCATAAAATACGAACCCGATCTGGAGCCTGTTATATCGCTGCTCCCACACACTACTATATCTATCTATCTCTGTGGGCCGCATTACATCTGCTAAGACAAACTAATTTGGCCACGCTAATATATACGAATGACAGTCGTTTAATTTCAATGAGTCATAAATTTTTATAATCCACATTCGTGGGGTCTCGCTGTACGAGCTACGCGCGACGCGCGTGTTCTGGCTGCTGCACACAGCGATGGCGGCATTTAGTGGCACAGTCGGCACTGAAAGTCTAGCAACCAACAAGGGCGGCTAATTAGGAGGAAAAAATGAACTGTTTTTAGGTGTTAGTCGCAAGGGAAGAGGGCACAAGGGCCCAGGGCCGTAGCGGAAACTGAAACTTTAATTGAAATGTAAGAGACCTGTTCTGTCCTCGCATTCTACTACCATTTTTCTCTGTTTTAGTTTCGGAAAGTTGTTGGACAGGCATGTTCGTGTGAGAGTTTCATTTAACCAAACAAAACACGTCGTCAAATAATTCTGTTTGCCTGACACTTCAAGTGTGGAATTCATTTGTGAAAGGACCCGTACCCATCCCCCCAACTGGCCGGGACTTATTCGACTTGATTTTGGTCTTTGGGATGGCGATGGGGATGGGGATGTGGATGGTGGGAGAGATCATACAAAAACCAATCACCACAAAACACCCAAGTAATGAGGCGAAACTTGTCAAGAGTCTCTGGTCTGGGCTGTTCCTTTGTCTTTCACTCGGTTCGTACTTTGGCACTTTTTCGACTTTGTTGGCTTTCTGAGCGACGGTGGCAAGATTGCTGGCCAGGCCATTGTTGTCCAACTTTGATTTAAATCAGCAGCGGAAGCAATCTTGCTTTGTTTCTGCCAATGGCAAATGATTTAATTGGGAAAGTTCAAAAGTAATATTCATTTATACTTCTCATTCGTGGAGTACAAAGAAGGTACAGCAGGTGTAGAGTACGATAATAAATTTTCTTAAACAGCTTCTAGAGCCATTTCTATTTGTGTTTCTGAATACCTGGATTTAGGTTAAAATACTTGAATAAATTTTATAAAATAGAGCCATTATCGATCAATCTGCCATCACAAGAATATTATTTTATTTCATTTCCAATTTTAAATGATATCCTTGCAAAATGAAAGTGCAAATAAATAAATACCAGAGTGGGTCTCCGCTCCTTCATCTTCATCTTCAACTTTCAGATTCCTTTCTTTGCTTTCATGGAGATTGATATCGAAACCTTTTGTGTGTGAACGATTTGTGGACGGAGGAGCACGTGCCAGTGCGGGGATTAAAAGTATTGTTTTGCCCTGCGGCAGATGACGTCTGCAGAAAACACATCGATGATGCGGCAGATACGAAGGCTGCAGTTGGTAGACTGGATGTCCTTCCCCTCCTCGCAGTTTACAATGATTTGGGCCAGTGTGCAATTAGCCTTATTAGATTGTGCGTAACACGAAACCGCAGGGTTGGTCCTGCGCAAAAGCTTAAATTTTTAAAGGGGGTTGCCTTCCCGCTGTTGTTGTCCTTCGGTTATGAATTACCATCGTTCTGGTGCGCTAGTTTTTCTGCGGATTCCATCTCATTAATTAACTAACCCGTAAGTGAACTAGACGTTGCGAATATTGTACTATGGCCTTTGGCAAAACGCTTTTGATAAGCGCTCCGCCCTCGGAATTAATTGGAATGTCAGGCGAACAACTACTATTCGCCTTCTAATAGGAGGAGGAGTGTTGGCACTTGACTTGGCTCTCAGCGCGAACTAATTTATCGTTTGGGGTTTCTACCAAATTGGATTCACGCAAAAGTTTGAAGACATAATCTCCCAAAGCTTCAAGTAATCCTTTAATTTATGTTGGAAGCTCATAATTCGAAATGCGAGCCATTGCCTATGAAATCCATTCCATTAAGTTGTATTTCTTCAATAGCATCCACCAGGACTAACAGTTGCACCTGAATCAGAGAAGAAATAATTAAAATTGCATAAACCTACGGGAATTCCCCCGCTTAATTGATAAACGACAATCTTTCTTCCTTCCCACACTTTTCAGACATTTAATGAGCTCGCCGGGGAGCATCGTCTCCGCACCGTTAGCACCTCATGTCAGCTGTCATGTAATTTAATACAAGTCGACACCCACCACCCCCCATCCCGATCGCCATCCCCACCGTCGTACTCGATACCAGCACCAGCACCAGGACCAGGAGCAGAGGCAGGAGCAGGAGCCGAGGAAAGCACCCAACCAATTAACTGGGGGCCATTCAGCACAAAATGGCCTGTGACGAAGCTGGCGGCGGCGGCGGCGGCGGGGGAGGGGTTAGACAAATTACAAAATGAAAATGATATATGTGCTGATGTCCACAGGCCTCTGGAATGGGATGTGGGCCAGAAGTGCGGCCATCTAACAAATTTATGTGTCGAGGCGTCGGCGATGGCACTTCCACTTCCGCAGGGGCAGGGGCAGGGGTGGGGGCAGGGACGCAAACTGTTGCCTGACTGATGAAGCCGCTCGACGGCCGACCCGACTGATGCTGATCCGAGAAATGTGTCAACAAACACCCATAGATGGCCAAAATCCAGAGGCGTGGAGAGGAGAGGAGAGGGGGGCGCAGATGAAATTAAGAGCTTTGAGGCGAATGCTGAATTATGCAAATTGCTGGCATTTATGTTCTGTTCTGCTTCATCTTGGCAAATAGACAGGGGAAGAAGACAGGAAGAAGCAAGCTGCAGAATAAAAAAAGCGCGGCATAAAATTAAATTTAAATTGATGAGCCTCAAAGCAAGCAGAGCCTCAAAGTGGCAGAGAAAAACCGAAATTGCCAGCATGTGAAAAATTGAAAGAAAAACGTGTGAAGGAAATCCTTGGCAGGATTTTGGGGTACATTTGCTAACAGGAAGAGTAGGTAGTACTGCTACCTGCCTCTGTTACCTCCAGGGAAATTATCCCCGACTTGGGAGAGATCAAAATCAGTACTTCAGGGAGCTGCCAGGCGATCGATTGATCCCTAAATCTTCTGTGGCAACAGTTAGGGTATGTTTTACTCTGTCTCAAGGGCCAAACAACCATTTTCAATTCCATTTTTCTTTCAAATTGTCACCCGCAACAGCAATCGAATCGCTTTTGTCCAGTCGAGGGCCATTACTCAAGTGTCGGGGAGCATTATTTATATGACCAAAGGACTTCCTCCCGGAAAACAAAGAAGAACATTTGAAACGAGAGGAAAAATTGGCACTCTTTAGCGTGCAATTATTTAGTTCCTGAAAATTGCAGCAGGCTATGGAGCTCAGAATGAAAACGGATGAAGGAAAATAAAATGAAATGCAATAATGGAGTCTCTGACGTTCAAAATGATTTCATTAAAGCGCCAGAAAAGAGAGCAGAATTTCCATGCAACGTGAGAAAAATACAGAAATGAAAAACATACAATAATGCTGCTGAAATACATATTAAAAATACCAGGCCAAACTATTTTATTTCATCATTTTTGCTACAACAAAAATGCGGTGAAAAACTCTTTTTGGGTAAATCATGGAAGCGATTTGCTTTATTTTCTGGCAACTGTTGCGTGATGGAAAATAATGTGATATGCCAAGCGAAAATTGGTCTGTTCGCACTTCTAGTTATGTGTATCTATGTATATACGAGTATGTGTGCCGGAAAGTTTTCAGACAATCGCAATGGCTGTGCTTTGTTGTAAACTAACTTTCCATTGCGACACACTAATGCACTATAATTGGGCCTCAACGAGGGGCCAGAACACCATCTAATTGTACGAGACAGGACTAATGTTCGTACAATGTTCCTGCATGGTTATTAAAGGCAACGCCTATGCGGGTACAGCGATATGCAATTTAAAGTTTTTGCCGCATTGATTGAGCAGGGTCGGACCATTTTCCCCATCGAGTGTTTATCCCTGCCCCAAAATGGTTTGGCATTCCTTGTGTTTGGAGTCCGGACACTGCTCTAATGATAGGTTCAAAGCAATTTTCTGTGACAATCGATTTCGGGCCCAAAGCCGATGGAATTTCATAAAAACAATGCCTTGGGGCGATAATTTATCTAGATAAAGACAATCAAAATTGTTGGTCCTTGTTCCTCTTAAAAATCTTCCTCTAGGCCTGCTCCCCTACCCCCCAACATTAAGTGCGAACAGGCAAAGCGATTTGCAGGAAGGAAAAAACATGAAAATAAACTGAAAAAAAAGAAGAGGAATGCCGAGGCGATGTTAAACGGATAAAATTAAATATAACTATGACAATGTATTTTAATGGCTTGAGCGGAGCTTAAATTTGATTTTTTATGACCCGCTCCTCTCCTCTCCTCTCCTTAGTGGTTGCTGTTTGCCCGAACATCCTAGTGCTTGGGGATATCCCATCCACAGGGTGGTGTCTGGCATCGTTAAACGGAGGATTGGATTTGCTTTGAACATTTAAAGCGCCTAATGAAAGGAAACATGTATTCATATTCATTGGATTATTGAAACGACAAGCGAATGCCTGTAAATTCCGTAAAAGCTTTGGCAATTTTTCAATGTTTTTTTCCTGAAAAAATGATTATTGTATTTGTATTGTTCTTTCATTATTTTTGAGTGAATAAATAAAAAAACAAACAAAACCCATTTTTTTGTAGCATACAACCGTGCGCAAACGCCGCGTATTCAATTACATGCCGCAAAACAAATGGCCCTCGCAAATCTTTTGCCAAAGCCTGTCCCCCCCTGGTATTTTGGTATTGCTGTTCTGTTGTGTTGTGTAGGCAACGCATATTTCATGAAAAACACACACCACCCATACGGGGGGAAATGGCAAAGGGCACGACCTACCTATCCACCCGTTCTGCGCTGGAATCCGCGTTATTTATTCCAAAAAATATACATTCCTTCGGATGCCACCCACGACAATACCCCGAACATTTGCAGGCGACTTAACTGCATTTATTATGAGACGCACTAAGTCCCAAGCGACTGATAGATAAGATTTCTCCTCTCCTCTCTTCTGGTGGTGATCTCTTTTTTCTGCCCGAAGCGTGTGTGGGGCTACTGTTTGCCGAAAGTTAAGATAAAAGTACTGCCCCTGGACGGAGCTGGGGGGGGCAGGGGGTTTTAAGTGGCTTTGTGTCCTGAACTACTGATAAATTGCATTGATTTATCAAATGTATGGACTCTAATACTCCCATACAAACATCACCACTAACGATTGAGTACAGACCAGGAGGTATCCTGGAGTGCAAAATAGGGATATATCTGGGAAGTATTCAAATTTCAGCCTTTTTTCTCTAGGTTAAAGTGTAGAATCTATCTATATTCTTAATATTGTTAATTCTGTTTGATGTTTGTTGTCTGTACCCCCTCCATTACCATCTTTAGAGGGTATCCAAGGGGTCGAGCGGGGGAGCACACTCGTTGGAAGTCCATAGATACGAATTTGACATCCAGATGGTCACCAGATAAGCGGACCTCTGCAGGCCATCTCCTCTGTCATAAATCACAACAGTTTGTCTCTTTTGCCGCTTCGTTTGGTTCCTTTTTGGTGGGGGAAACGCCAGTTGTAAGCCAGTTATTGATATGGGCTAACAGGTTTATTTGTCAGCCTAATGGCAGACAGACCGAAAATAGCTCAATTTTCGTTAGTATTACGAATTTATTCATTGTATTTACGATGCCCCATGCCCCATGCCCCATGCCCCACGCAGACACAACTCATATTCGATGGACTTAAAACGGAATAATTAATCACAAGGTCCCAACAATGTCAAAATTTCAATTAGCTAATTGTACAACAAGTGTATCAGAACAGACGACGCTACCCTACCTTCTCCCACACTACGCACTACTTCTGCACTGCTCCTCTTCTCCTGTTAACCTTTTAGCTACGGGCCAAGGGGCAAACTGAACAGTTTGCAAACAGTGCGAAAGTTGTTGACATTTTAGCCCGTTTCGGGTTTGAAACTTGGAAATGCCAGGAAATATCAGGCAGGTCTTCTTCTGCCGGCCCAGCACTTGGAATCACTTAATTAATTCGCCTTTGTTCTGAAACTTCATTTACATTTTGGCCATTTAAGTCATTACAACAATCGCGTCGTAATATTCGTAATTGGCAGACAGAGAAGGTCAACACAATGAACCTGATTGCATATTGCCACAGCAATATTGTGAATCCGTCGAAGAACAAACCTACAGAAATTGTACAGAAAGCCATACAAATAATTGATTTGAAAATGAAAGGATTAATACTACTAAAGTGCTCTCTGCTCTCCGGATGGGATGGGATGGGATGGGATGGTGTTTCCCGGATCGAGAGTCCATACAAAACATCCAAGGATCCAAGAGCATTCATGACGGCTCGATAAAATATTATTTACCATTAAAAATGATGCGACACACTAGCAGGGTCTTTTTATGTGCTATCCAATTATCCACGAGCTAATTGCTGTAATAAATTCATTAAAAATCAATTTTTATCAGCAGGCTGTATACACGTAGAACACCATTCACACAAATGGCTGGCAGAACTTATGGGAGGAGATCATAGTGCCAACTGAAAACTTTGCCCTCGCTTGCTCACCTCACGATTAAGTTGTGGCAAGTTTCCTTATCTCATCCTCCAATCGACTAGGCCAGAAGTCTTCCAATTAGCTGTGCAAAATCCTCTTCCTGAGGATCCAAGTGTAATTTCAAGTTTCATTTGAAGTGGTTGCCCGACGGAAAGATTAAATGTAATTGAAAATAAATGGAATAGTTCAACTACATCAGTAGCTCCCAAGCAAAACTAACACTACCTGGAACTGCCACAAAAGGACACACTTTTCTCACGCACTTGCACCTCTCGGGGTATCCAACAATGAGAGATTTGGCATATCTGAGAGACTGTGCCACGCCACTTGGTGGCTGCTTCGGGTCTATGCAAAACTGTGTTAATGCAGTCATACGGTTCTGTTTTCAAAGAGATCTGTGTTTATGGTCTTCCATAACACCTTCAATGGCATACGGCTTTATGCACTCGGACAATGGAAGAAAAAAGAGAGAGGCTGCCTTCCTGGGCGGAGCAAATGGCAGACCATTCATATTTTTAGTGCTAAGAAATGACAGGACAGTCGGCCAAAAGAAAGGGTAGAGATTTCAATTACACAGACTTTCCTTTCTCGCTGGATCTTGTGGCCGGGTCGTGGGTCCCGCGTCTGGTGGAGCCATTGAAGTTTTCTGGGGCGTCAGTTACGTTTTATGAGTCACTGTATATGGGCTGTATCTGTGTGTGGTTAATGGCTGGGAATGTAATGACACGATGTGCATTCCTTGGAGTGGCATCTAGTCCATAAATCTGTAACTTAAAGCTTAAAGCCCTTTGCCACTCCAACCCAGAGGTTCTGATGCTTGGCTTTAATTGAAGATGTAAGCTTACATGCGAATGCTCTGAATTTTTGCCCCAAAAGAGAATGCCGAATTAGGATGCCAGGGGAGCCAAGGGAAGGAGCCGAGCGTTTATTTATGCCCAAAGAGATTAGTAAGAGTGCATTTTAAAACAAAATTTTAATGTTTGGTTTAAGTTAAAACACTCCCAGAACAGATAACAAACTGTGTCTAATCGCTTGAAAAATACTCACAATATTTAAACAATAATCGAGAGAATGCCTCTGAAAACCATAAGAATCGAATGCCATATAATTGAATTTTCACGTATTTCAGCAACAAAATCAAATTGAATGATTCTATGGTACAAATTGTGGTTTGTTTTATTCTGTTTGCAGAAGGACAGCATCGCATCGAGTGCAGAGATCTGTGCAAAATGCAGAAACAAGCAACGAGCAGCAGGCCATGCGAGGAAATAAATTAATCTTTTATGCTTAAACAAATCCGGTTTTTCCGTCGAACGAGAAACAGCATTGAACGGAGCAGAATCGTACGGAGTCAGCAGTATAGCAGGAGGATATACGGATTCCCCGATGATAGCCAACCTGGTCAACGTCATTAGCAGCATCGCCATCGAGATGGACTCGGGCATGAACACGGACCAGCATAAGACTCTTGACATTGACGCGGGGTCGGGACTGAACGTCACGCAGGCTCTCTGGGAGCTGGCAGTGGCAGCGGCCACTGGGATGCCGCCCCTCATCGAGGGCCTTGACAATGGAAGCGTGCCGGTGACCGAGACCCCCTATGTGCCCTACGGCAGGCGGCCGGAGACCTACATTGTGCCCATCCTCTTTGCCCTGATCTTCGTGGTCGGCGTCCTGGGCAATGGGACACTGATTGTGGTCTTCCTGAGCGTGCGGCAGATGCGGAATGTTCCAAACACGTGAGTTCAGGCATAGCAAATGTATCCCCACCCTGCAAATGGAGGTTTAAGCGAACATGCGAGTAAAAGCAAAAAGATACCAATTATTCTCCGATTTGCAGGGTATCTTCATTGACTAGACACCTTAACGTACCAGAGATGGTAAATACATATTTGTATAAGTTTAAATTCAATCTTGGTGTGATTACAGGATATCAACGAGTCCACTTTCGTGTTTGTGGGCTTGTTGGAAAATGAGTTTTTGATTTATGGCAAACTTAAATTGAATTTAATTGTATGAAGTATGTGCAATGGACCAAAGTGTGCGCCAAATTATGCATGCAAAAGGCGAATGTCACGAGTTTCCCTGAAAGTTATCCACCACCCTCTGGGGCCACATACGCCTACCGCAACGTGGCTACCCATCAGTTAATTAAGTGCTCGGCTGGGCCTGGGCTGGGCTGGGCTGGAAGGACCGGCATTGTGATGATAATGGTAATGCTGTTACGTCCTCCTGCCGGAATTTACTTAAAACTCCCCTACGCACATGAATCGATTGGCAGCTGTTGAAGCATTTCCACAGAGAAACAAAATGGGACACGATACTCGTATTTTGTCCCCCCCCTCCTTAGAGCCAACTAATTAGTCATGTCTGTAATGTGTGCGTGTGTGTGTGTGTGGGGGTGTTTTTTGTACTGCATAAATTGTGTGTCATAAATCAAGTTATTGTGCCAAGCCATGCCCTCGGAGACAAATATGATTTTCAGACGATAACCTTATGTCGCCTTGTTTTGGGGGAGCCCACTGTAAGTGGCAGCTGGAGACTATGTATGTATGTGGTGGAGGCTCTCCTATAGGAGAGAGAGGGAAGGCGAGAGAGTCTTAAAGGGCAAACGAAGATAAGTAACTGTTTAAGCACAGTCGTGTCGCTCAGTTTGGTCGTGTGTAGTAGCATGTATCAGAGGCGCTGCTGGACACTATGCGGTGGAGGGCAGTGTAGGCGATAAAGAGTGAGAGGGAGTTGTCTTTAAGAGCAAATGAAATAACTGTGACTACGCTCGGCTTGGTGAGAAAAAAAGGGACCAGTGGCGGTGAGAGCTGCTGAGACTATACGAAAGAGCAGGCAATGGGATTATGCAAAATATCAAAGTAACGGTTAAAGCACAGTGGCAATTATTTTTTGGGTAGAACAATTTTCATTAGCGCAACATTTGCACCATTTTGATGAGGAATAGACTGGAAATTCACTCTCTATTTACCACTTAGAACAGCGGCAGCTGTGGCAGGCACTGTGTCTTCAAGAGAGCCGCCGCTTTACATGGAACCGTTACTCAAGCGCACACACCACACTTCACTCAAATTAACTTGTCCACATACGAGACAGACGAGCGGGGGGAATGTAGACAACAAACTAAGCAACGTTGGAGGAAGCAATGAAATGATGGGAAAACCCTATTTGAAATAAGTCAAGCCCCATGCACACATGTCCTGGGCACTTAAAACTTACTGGCTGGCACTCTTCTGTGCAGCCAAAAGCTGAGGGAAATGTCAACTGATCAAATTACGCTGAAATTGCATTTCGTAGTCAAGCCAGACCCTACCGAACCAACCCGAGGGCCGGAGCAGACCGTTATCGGCTTTAGAGCTCGGAGCCACAGAAAAGTAATTTGGTGTTGCATTTCCGGCAGCAGAACGTGGCTAACAAAGTGCCACATGCAGCTTATTTATGGTTGGCGGAGAGGTTGGATAAAAGCGAAATTACTATATGAGATCACGGACCGAATTGCCACTATGCGCAATTTATTTGCTGCCACTGTAAGAGACGAGAGACGAGCTTAAGTGTGCCGTGCCCTTTGTGGGGGGATAGTGAGAATGCAAAAATCCTTGCCAAAAGATAACTGCGCTTAACTCTCAAGCCTCTCTTACTCCTTCTCTCCCTGTCTCTGCTGTAAAAGAGAGTGTAGGCATATGGCACCATTTCCCACTGCTTCCTCAAGCAGTCCAGAGGGAGGGAAACTCATTTTGGAACTGCTCTGTTCTAGACTTAATAAAGCTTTGAGCTTATAAATCAATTTAATCGGTCATTGTACTTGCCCCAAGTCAGCGACAACTGTCTCGCAAAAATTTGCCTAATACTTGGCCCCCATAAATCAACGATGCGCAGAATTTTTATCACACTTGAAGGAGCACGTGCTCGTGCTGGAATCCCTAACCCCTAAAATTCAGCAAAAGCCCATTGCAAAGTCAGCCTGCTTATCTCAAGAAGTAAAACATAAATCTATTGGGGGGCCGCCTTGACTTGACTTTAAATTTCAAACACACATAAATTGTCTCTTCCAGCTACATACTTTCGCTGGCCCTGGCAGATCTGTTGGTCATCATCACCACAGTGCCACTGGCATCCACCATCTACACGGTGGAGTACTGGCCTTATGGCAGCTTCTTGTGCAGTCTGTCGGAGTTCATGAAGGATGTATCGATTGGGGTGTCGGTGTTCACACTGACAGCCCTCTCGGGCGATCGGTACTTTGCCATTGTCGATCCATTGCGAAAGTTTCATGCTCATGGTAAGATATATGAAGAAGAATTCCCCAATGTAGAACGAGTAGCTACAACACTTTCACGTCTCCTTTCAGGAGGCGGTCGCCGGGCCACGCGCATGACCTTGGCCATAGCGGTTTCCATTTGGCTGTTGGCCATCATCTGCGGTCTCCCAGCCCTCATCGGAAGCAATCTCAAGGCACGTTTTGCTCTAATAATCCGAAAGTTAGTCGTTAAACTAATTTCACTCTTGCCACTCTTGCAGTATCTTGGCATCAACCAGGAAAAGTCGATTGTCATCTGTTATCCCTACCCGGATGCTTGGGGCGCTAACTACGCCAAGACAATGGTCCTGTTGCACTTCCTGGTCTACTATGCCATCCCATTGGTGATAATAGCGGTTTTCTATGTGCTGATTGCCCTGCACCTGATGTACACGGCGAGTGTTCCTGGCGAGATGCAAGGAGCTGTCAGACAAGTGAGTATTTGTTCCCTTCCAATCCTTGAGACAGTGGAAACCCTTCAATTTCTCTAGAAAGAATTCCATAAAGTGATATACATCATTGATCTCAAATAAATAATGATATATGTAACTTCATAATAGTGAATAAGCTGAAGAAAACTTTTTCCAACTACTTCTTTACCGACAACAAAATTGGCAAAAAACTTTTCCACTTACTCCACTTGAGTGGAATTAAATATTTATACGAACTTACGCAGAGCATAATTCATAAATTACATGAAGTGAAGGTACAAATATAATATGTTTTCAGCACACTTTCGGACCCACATTTTGCACTATTCTGAGGAGTTTTGATATCCCCATCCCCCCCTTAAGACTCTCTCTTTGACGAGGCACGGGTACGAGGGCCATAGATAAATAGATTACGGATTCGTAGACCACATACACATTAATGGATCCCGACTGCTTTACGTTTAACAGAAGATAACAGCGTTTATCCATTTGGTCTTGTTGCAGGTTCGAGCGCGTCGCAAAGTCGCTGTGACTGTGCTGGCATTCGTTGTCATCTTTGGCATTTGCTTTCTGCCGTACCACGTCTTCTTCCTCTGGTTCTACTACTGGTGAGTGAGTGCTTTTATGAACTGTGAAAGGGATTTATGCGGAGCGGCTGGGGAGCTGCTCATTCATGCATGGATGGAAGAGTCAATTTGTCATGCGGATAAAAAGGAGCCTGCCCCCAGCCCGGGGCACGGGGAGACGCGTCCGTGTGTGTGGCTGGGACCTGCGGATGAGTAATGTTGTTGCCGTTTGTTCGACACTTGTTAGCTCCGACAATGTGGATGCGGGTGGAAAATCAATTTACCCACTGATATCTCCATTACATGTCGACGCTTGGTGCTCACGTGTGTGTGTGTGTATTTACTTGCAGGCCCACTGCCCAGGAGGATTACAATGCGTTCTGGCATGTCCTGCGCATCGCCGCTTACTGCATGTCCTTCGCCAACAGCTGTGCCAACCCGGTGGCCCTCTACTTCGTGAGCGGCGCCTTTCGCAAGCATTTCAATAGGTACTTGTTCATTCACATCACTACTCCACCACCACCACCACCACCTCCAACTCCAGCAGCATGACAGCATGCCCAAACGATTACCAATAACCCGGTAACGATTACGATAACAAACCAATAGATAACTGTAAGCCAGTAACGCAACTGTAAGCGTAAGCCAACTGCAATTTGTATCTCTTAAAACCAAACAGAAACAATACTCAAACTCAAACTCCAACCAAAACCCACAGAACCAAACGAAACTTGAAACAACCACAATGGCGATCACATATCATATCAAATCAAATCATATGCCAGCTGGGATGACACTTGAATTGAGTTTGAATTTGTTTTGTTAACCCATTCGTTTTTTATGTTGCATCTGCATGAGTTCCTTTTCAGTTGGTTTACCCATTCATTTGTTGTTCCGATTCAATGGGAAATTTTCCATAGTAGATTTTGATAGAGAACTGATTTATCATTCCTTTTTCCTTTGAAAAGCTCTCTGTAGTCATCTACTTATTCTTTTTTTCAAGACCTAAGCACAACCTTGACTGTTGATGTCTATCAATGGAAGGGTTTGATATCGGCTACCGATAATTGGGTAGAGTACTTCCACTGCCACTTAAAATTCCGTTTAAAAGTAACTGTCTGTCCTGGCACTTGAATGTAATCAACATTACGTTAACAGTCAAGCCAAACCATTGACCAGATTGCCATCAGAAATTCTTAGTTTCTTATACGCACACACACACACACACACACACTCACACTTTATAGAAGAAGACGAAAAAAATACACTCCCTTCCTTTTGGTGGCGATTCTATTGCATTCCCATTGGGGCATCTCCTGCAGATATCTGTTTTGCCGCGGCGCAAACGGACGCCGCAAGAAGCGGAACCAAGCGAACGACACCTTCTGCATGCACCGGGACACCTCGCTGACCAGCACCGCTTCGAAGCGCTATCAGTCGCGTCATTCCTGCTATCAGAGCACCATCCGCAGGTGAGTCCATACAGGTGTTCCTTTGGCCCCCCACACGCCCCCACCCCAACAATCGAGTACTGATTGCCCTTCCCGTTGACAGCTCTCGACTGCAGGAGACAACGATAGCCATGCTGCCAAATGGGCCCCAGGGCCCGAATGGCGCCCCAATTTCAGCCGTAGACCTAGCCGCTTGCCAGAATGAGGCGACGCGGGGCTACGATTGTTTCCCACTGAACGAGTACGGCCAGCGGACCAGGCCGCCACTAAGGCAGCAGCAGTCCCTATTGAATTAAAACGGCAGCCCAAAGCTGGCCCCAAAAAACTAGTCTTTAAGGGAGTTTACAGGAAGGCAAGTCGGGCAGGATCCGAATCACCCGACTTGCGGAGGAACAAAATAAGCTAACCAAAAATTAGAAACTACACATTTAAGCTGAGATTAATTTTGCTTTAAATTCTGTTATATTTTTGATAGCGCACTCTCATTAAAATATATGTACGCTGGGCTCCCAAACGGTGTCCAAGCCACAAAAAACTTTATTGATCCCAAAACGTTTTAAGGGAAAACTTGCACTTAAACAAAGTTGGTGACCCCCCCGAATTGTACATACTTCCTGCACAAAAACACCGACGTACTTAAACACATATAGTTAATGCATGGATGTGTGTTTCTATGTGTCTAGTCATAGGGTTAAGCCCCCACGTAAACCGTGTCTGTCCCACACTAAAGTATTGGCTTTAAGCGAAACTATTTTACGGAGACATATATTTTAAAATGTATCTGTCATTTTAGGATTCTAGTAATATGTATAGTGTAAATATATTTGTATGTGCCAGAAAATAGTTGCAAAATAAATGTAAACTGTGCGTTGAGAATGTTTTTACGTTTTATTTGCCTCTGTCAGTGGCAGGCAGCCAACGCTCTCGGCGGTAACTTGAAAGGAGATGCGTTGGCATACAAGATTTTATGCCTCGAAAAAGTCATGAAAATTTATGGGAAATTAAATTACTGAGAACATCCTGCGGAGCTGCTGTGGAGCACCGCGCCGCACCCCTTGAGCGAAAACTTTTGGTCATTCATATGCGAGTAAACACAAAGCAGAGCAGAGCAGGACGGTCGCGACCCAAAAAGAGAAAGAGAAAAAGGGAAAAAGGGAAAAAGGGAAACTCCTTGTGGTGGGCTCTTTTTTCGGTTCTGCAAGGGACAGGCCCGCAGATTAATTGGTTTGACCGCCAGCAGAAAAGGTGGAGTCGCCATAATCTAGTGTTCGCATCGCAACAGTCCCCAGAAATTTCTGGGTTCTTTTCAAAGTTCGTTGCTCGGTTTGCCTTTCTATTTAAAAACGATTGGATCTGGGATGGGAAAAAGTTCTCGAATATGTCAAAAAGTCGTCTGCAAATCGGGTTTCAGAGGAGATTGCACTCTAGAAGAGAGAAAGAGAGTATGAAATAGCCAAGCATTGGCTTTAACTTTATGGATTTATTTATGACAGTTCGCACTTTAAGTTTCGTTAAGTCCAGCATAATAAACATCTATAAATAGCTACAGGTCCACCTCAGAAAATCACTCCCGTTTCCTGAATCAATTTCCGGGAATTCTGCGGACTCCTTTGGGGCGTGCCACGTACGTCCCAAGCGTAATGGGCCATCAACCCAATAAGCTTAAATCGGAGGCACGATGGGCCTTATTCGATGTATTCGACCGAGACAGATGCAGAAATTAAATTAACCCATGAAAATGTCGAGCGCGTCGGGAGTGCGTTGATCCGTCAGCTACGTGCTAAGGATTTTCGTTGCCCATCATCCCACCATTCGCTGGGAGCCTTATCTTTGCCTTGGCAACCAACGACAGATATATAAATAAATGCCTTATATTTGTTATTTTATTTCGTCCCTCTCTGGCTGCTCATTTTTAATAAACCAGGGCGGGTATGCCACTCGACGGAGCGACCACGTCAAGTTGTCATCAAGCCAAGCCAAGTCGAGGAGTGCTTATCCCGGCTTTATTAACTGTCCAAAGTGTTTGTCGCTCCTTCTGCGGGGCCCAGGACAGGCCCTTCCAAAACCATCCACAATCAGCTCAGCTTTTACTTTGTGTCGTTTTCTTTGTGGTCTCGAGTTTCAAGTTTATTTTTGGTTTTCTTGAGATTGTTATTTTGATATTTTTCTATTTTTATATTTTGTCTGGGGGAAATCTAATTTGTGGCGCTCTGGGAAAACAACAGTTGATTTTTGGTCTAATTAGCAAGCCCCTGATCAATAAAGTGGAGCGCTGTCGCGTGGCTTGAGTGGACTCTCTGTTGTGGTGATTCATGAGGTTGTGGCTGGCAGCCAGTTGGAAAGATGGGACTTTTGGGTTAATTAATATGCAGAAATAGCAATGCAATGCAACTTCAGTTAATTAATGATTAAAGAGCAGGCCGTTTAGGCACTATCCACAGTTAGAAGAAACCAGAAAGGCCCCAGGCTGACTCAGCCGGCTATGGCTGTTTATAGGATGAAGGGGAGAAAAATAAGAACTCATTTTCCGTTCCATTTTTGGAAAGCGAAATCCAAAACCGTACTTAATTTGATTGCTCGAGCTTGAATGGTTCATCCGCATCGATTATACTTACTTTATTTGTTTAGCCAATTAAGTAGCCCTAAGAGAGTGAATTAAGTTAAACGACCGCGAATATTCATTTAAGTAGCGCCAAGTGTTGCGACACTGGAAAACCACACAAACAAATTCGAACACGTACAGGGTGCTGGGTGCTGGGGGGAGAGCAGAACATAATGAGGACAGGACCATGCCAAAAAAGCGGAACACACGAACACTTAGAAAAACACAGGCAAAGACAAACACAAACATGAAAAGCAATAACAATAATAATGCTCAGCTAAGGCCACATAAAGCATGCATATGTATGCGCGGTGGAAGAGAGGGAGAGAGCCTAGACAAGTGGCTGGAGACAAGGTATATTAAACAGAAGGTAGGGCTACAGGCAAATGCAAACATGATTATAGCCTTACCTTCCATTAAATATATATATTTTGTGGGAAGTTGGGCTGTGAGTAGCAGAAACAGAAACAGAAAACGTATGGGAAGAAGGAGGTGGGATGTGGGTTTAATGGAGAAATGTTGGCGTGGTAAATAAATAAAACGATTTGCGACGCACACAAAGACACAAATGTAAGCACAGTCCTCAAGGTGCAAAGCACGGCAGCTTAACACCATTCCAATGTTGTTGTTCTGAGGGCCCCCTACCCTCGGTGAGCAGCAGGAAGGGCGGAGGGGAGGCTGTAGGCAGGAGTCAATGATTCGTGGAGACGGCGTGACAAAGAGTCGTGGCCTAATCGTAAATTGCTTTGAGTAGGACTAATCTACACACATGCACTCAGAACACACACGCATTAGGCACATAAAAATTGGCTCTCAATAGGCCGTAGGGCACTTTTGTGCCTCGCACTCACACGTTTTTAATCTCTGTGCGTGCGTGTGTGGTTTATACCTTCACAAAGAGTATGATGATTTTGACCATATGTTTGCAACGCCAAGAGCGGCAACTCCTTTGCGACCCAAGAGATCAGCATCAAGAATCAAGTCGATATCGTCATGTCCTTCTGAAGAGATTACTGTAGAGATTTCCCTGTAGCTGTCACTGGAAATGGATGTGTCCACTAGGGTGTCAAATGGCTCGGCCTCCAACGGTAGCCGGTCGCTTGTTCCCTTCTTGTGTCCTCATGTAGGCGTTTTGTCGCCTGACTGTGTGGGTGACGGCATCGTCTGGGACACGGGAGCCGCCTCCTGGTTTGATGCCCCTGACAGCTGGCTATGCATTTTAAATGCCTAAATTGGATCAGAGTACGTAATGGAAAATCGTACATAAAGGCCAGGCGATGTGGCAATATGCTAAACATTGCGTGTCGACACAGACACTATTGTGGCTGCCAAGGCTAATGCTCGATCGCTGCAGGGACAGCATTTCTACTTTAGACTCCTTATAACACTTAACACTTAAGCACATTTTGACCTTTGAAATTGTATAACACCAAAAAATTGAGCTCCCCCCAAGGATATCCTCCAGCTTGGATATTTCCTAAACGTATGCCACACAATTTTACGATGCTCATTTTATCACTCTGGCAAGCGAAGAAGTAGCCAAAAATCACCACCTGCTGATTTATATTTAGCTAAAATATACAACCGCGCCAGTACCAACCTCCTTCTCAGGTTCTCCTACTCCGTCGCTGGAACATCGTCACTTGTATATTATCGGCCACTCGACCCCGTCGACTCATCTGACTTAACCTTCTCCGCTTGGCCTGGCTCTGGCTCTGGCCTCTACTCGAACACGAGTATATTTTAAGCATTTACAACTTGATGGCCAATGGTCTAGTGGCAGGCCATGCAGTGGTCCTCCATCTCCATCTCTATCCCCATTCCCCCTCCATCGACTTGCTCTGAGTCTAAGCCCCTTTTGGGAGCAATCACAGCTGGCGGTTGGCCGCAAAGGCCACAAGCCACAAGAGTCAGCCCCATCCAGCGGCAGAGTGTAACATCAGAGCTTAGAGATGGTGGGATGGAGAGCTGGAGGAGGAGGGTTGGGAGCAACGAATTTCTTACCAACTAATTGCTGGGGAACCAGGGCAAACCTCCGATAACCGACACCGTATGAGCTAGCTCCACCACCATTAAACAAGCGGGCAGGGGTGAGGGGCTGAGGGAGCAGCACCTGCCAGTTGAGAGACATCAAGCATACGCCTCGTGTGACATCTAATTAAGGCCCCAAATAATCCCAGCTAGAGGCAGACGATGCGTACTAGGCAATTAAACATGTAAAGTCTCCAGGTTCAGTTCATAGAACACCATTATCATCCACACATCCGATCCCCCCCTCGCACCGAAGGCGCTGATTCCACCCCCAAGAATAAATAAACTTTAGAGAGAGCATAAAGAGACGAGGAAATAAGTGGAGCGTATTAGTTTGAATTCGGGTTTGGATTTGAATTTGGACCCGCATCACCAGCTGAGAGGCACTCATCCTCGTCGCGCATACAGGATACATGAGGGAACGGCCTTGCCCTCGGGCACTTGAGCAAATATGTAGTAAAAAGGACATTCGCTCGAATTGTCACATTCGTTCGGCGAACTGGTGCCCCGATTTATGCATTTGCCTACAGACAAAGGAATTTCTATAAAGATGCCACAGTACTTGTCAGCTTTCTTTGTTTTTTGCCAAAGGTCAAACATGGCTTTCTCGTAAATATCGGTTCACCATAAAAAACGAGTCTGTGATTCTCTTTTCAAGAATGTTTTAAAGGCTGCCTAAACTTCAATTACACAACAAATTCATTTGATTTATCCGACTTATCCGAGGGCATTATTATTTTTGATCTGTCCCTGCCCCCAGGAAATAATCCCAAAAGTGGCATACACTCGTTTAATTAACTTCCCTTTCAATTCTAATTTTCGCTCTCATCCCCCGATTGGTCAGACTTCTTGGCGCAACTTTGTTGGCCCAAAAGGCAAAAGGCGACCAAATGGCGAAACTTTTGGAGCCCTGATAGAATAAATCTTTTTTCCGATTCGCTGATTTTATTTGTTTGCTTTTGCACAGGCAGAAGAATGGGGCACAAACCCTTTTCAATCAAATTAGCTCCAGTCAGTGGAGCAATTCCATCACTGGGAGCTGATGAAAGTTCTCTATTCGCCTAGGAGGGGCGTCCAGGAGGGGGCCTCGGTTGCTAAAGGGAAGAGTCACAATTTGGCTTAAATCAAAAATAAATCGAATTCAGAGTGATCAAAATTGTATATCCATTCAATTGGCCCCCAAAACAACGGTGTATATCGAAAACTACACAAGGTAGAACTAACAATCGATGCCATTCCGTGGGTAGTGAGTACTTGCAGTCTTTATGGACACTTATTGAGTCATGGAGGTCGAAACTTTACAGATTGTGTGTCTCCTAGGATGAGGGGATTCTCTCTAAATGCTGCAGATGGCTTGACATTGTTGCCAAAATATGACGACAGACGCGGACAACTTTGATGGGTCACCATCCCCTGCCAAATCATTGGTCGATCATTTATCAGAGGGGCACAGGAAGCGGCACAACAGCCCCGAGAACAACGATGAAAAGCCAGAAATCCCACAAAGTTGTAAGCCAACATCCAATTTTTCCTCGCAATCGAAGTACTTGAAGTTTTCGTTTCCGTTTCCGGTCGGTTTCATGCAAAATAATCACAAATCGCTATCTGAATTGTGCGCTATGTACGTGCTTGTGCCCTCCTCTGGGTTCTGTCCATTCTTTCTGGCTCTCTAACCGTTTCTCAAACACTTGACTTATGACATTTGATTGGCACACATGTGCGCTTCGGACGGCATCACGTTTTATGGGCATGTTTAAAGCGGCCTGGTCCAGGCCTGCGAATATGCATGGATCCCGAGAACAATGGAAATCAGTTGACTTATTGGCTTGTGTATGGCAGTTGTGATATAAAAGCAATTCAAATATTTCTCAGTGAGACAAATAAACACGGCCTAAGAAGAGGCAAAGCTAAAGCTAGAGCAACAGAGAGGAGAGTTAAATTCAATAAGGATGCGCTTTCCACTTGAGCGGAAGTGCCAGACCTCGGCTACGAATCTCCCTGCCCCAGCAACGGATAATAATCCGAGAAAAGTAAGTACAAATCCTGTGCCATATTTCGATGGAATTAGGATTGTGCGTAAGGACACCACTAACACAAACAGATATCTCTTGCATTTGAAGGGAGGAATTTTTCTGGAAAAAACCTGACAGAAATATGCCATAAGCAGGTTCTTTTTTATTCCTGTATCACTTCTTTGGCTTTGGCAATTGTGAAATTGCGCGAAAGATGGCTTGTCAGTGCCAGCTGGCGGCAGCAGCGAAGACGAGTAGAGTAGATTAAAAAATAGCAAAACGCGAGAGCTGTAGCGGACAGAAATAACAGTCGGGACGAGATAGGCAGCAGCCCTTTCCTGACAGGCCATTGGACATAACACTCACTGCATTCCTTTGGGCTACAGGTGAACGATGCGGCTACTTCTGCATATTTCTGCCGGATGCTCTTACATAGTGGCGCATTGAAGCATCATTTGCATATTTTCCGCTAACACGTTGCGCTTATATCACACATACGCAGCGAGGGTCCCAGCAATCGCCCTGCAGGCATTACCAACTTTTCTGAAACTCCATTCGCAGCCCCACTCCTATTGCCCCTTCCTGGCAGAACATCTATCGTCAATCACTCGTCGTCTCTCGGCTCGTTGGCTTTTAAATGTATCTGTTTTACCCAAAGTGGGCGAACCACACAATTTTGGGGCTGGATCAGAGGAAATTAAACTAATTTAACATGCCCCGCAATATGCTCCAATGAATACGGTTCTCAAACTTTTATTTTAAGAAAAATAAAAGTATAAAATTCGAAAAACATATTTGAGGTAACTCTGCTACATGGCAACTACATTCTACATGCATTTTACATTACATTTGTCAAAGCCAAGACATGAACCGCAGACAGGTGGCGCCAAAACGAAGAACATGAACTAGTTCATTTCCAAACTAAAATTTTACTTTCTTGGTTTAAAATTAAATTTGCATTAAGTTCTTTAATCAACTGTGGAGCAAGAGCCTGCCTGGTGGCTAAATGCAAACGACAGCTGTAGCTGCCACGCGCTCACGCTTACCCTCTCTCTCTCTCTTTTGGTACTTGGTACTTGGTACTCGCTCGCGCTCTCCGCACTTGTCTTGGCTTAAACGTGTTTTAGCCAACTGCTCTTGCTCTGGTGGCTCTGGCTTTGGTTTTGGCTTTGGCTGGCTTTTGGTGGGGCTTCCACTTTAACCAAGCCATTCTTCAGTTTGATTCGAAACAGTTTGGTTGTTGCCGCCGGTCGCTTTTTGGTTTTGGCCAAGTGAATGTCGTTCGATTGCCACCAAGACGGTATCGTCAAGTCGTTGATTTGTAAGTGCCTCTCCCTCTGCTCTTCTCTCTATCTCGCTCTGCCGTTGATCGGAGCAAGTGCGTCGGGTTCGGTTCGTTCGTTTGTTACGGGAATTTCGTTTGTTTTTTCGTATGCAAAGCGCGTAATTTTGCATTACCGTTGTTGTTTCGGGCGTCATAAAAAGTGACCGCGTCTCCGTCTCCCCACCAACCCCTGATCACCCCACATCTCTTCGGGAGTGGAAAATTTCACTTTGCTTTGAAAGCAAGTTTGCATGGATTATTGCTTGTGTGGCCCCACTGTGCCGGGGGTGCTGCACTGCACTGCACTGCAGTGCACTCGTTTCGCCAACCCACAGCCATAGGAGCACCCATCCATCTAAATAGTTACTAACCGAGTATAGCATTGAGATTCTGCTGACCTCCGGCAATAAGTAGAAACTACCATAAAATGCATAGGAATTGTGCATGGCATGGAGAGAAGCCCCTCAAGTTAATTAAAACTTATTAATTTTTGTATAATTAGCCAAGCCAAGGTCATTGGCTGATAAAAGGCGATAGTTTCTAGAGGTAAAAGACCAAGCAACAGAAAAGAGAAATACCAGTGACAGCCGCACAAACAAACAAATCAAATAAACGAAACGAAAAATCACATAAATAATTGAAAACCAACCAACAAACAACAACAACAACAGAAAGAAGAAACAAAACGAACCTCCAGCAAAGATACATATATTATGTGGCTCGTGTTTATATAGCAAAGACAGATTCAAGGTGAATGCTGCCATTATTTTTTGACAGAGTGCTCGAGAGCAACAAGTGAAAATTTATTGGGATTTTTTGCAAGTTCGCGTGCTTCCAAAAGAGTGAATAATACAAAAAAAAGAAGAAAGAAACGGTGCCAAAAGCAACGAAAAATTAATAATAAATTCCATTAAAAAGTACATCAATTTGAAATCAATTTTAAAATAGAGAATAAATTAATAAATGAAAGGCTAATTTGGATAAGTAGAAATTAATCAAAGAAGAATGTGGAGAGTCTCGTCTCTCAGTTTAATCTAAAAATCTCTGTATTCCATATTTGCGAACAATTAAATATTCCATTCCACTCCATTCAAATATCTATTAGAACGAGTCCATTGACATTGGAGCATCATTAGACCCCATCCATATACCATATACAGAACTTAGCCTACTCACACACAATTCTAGTTATACATATATGTATATAGAAGAGGCAAAGCAACCTTGAACCCTTTCTTACATTAAGATCCACAAACAAATCGCATTATTATTAATTATATCTTAACGGTATCCCCAAAACACAACGCTCGCTCCGCGAAATCATTCCAGAAACCCGTCCGACGGCCCCAGCCTGCCCAAAAACAATTTCTCGCTCTTGACTAAATTCGGCTTTGGAGCCATCAATTAAAAAAAACATACAATAACAAAATGCAAATACCGAACAACAGATAACTTAACGATAATTTACAAAAGCGCTTATAAAAAGCTTCAACAAAAAGTTACAAAAATATTGCAAATTACAAATACAACAACAACATTTTGGATACATTTTTGAGTTGGAAGCGAGAAACCATGTCTGGCAAAGTGAAGCGACCGACGCTGTCAGCGTCGGTGCCCCTCTGCCGAAGCTTCTTCTACTTCTTCCCCGGCGGCACCATCATCTGGCTATGCCTCTGCCTCTGCCTCGTCTTCTGCAGCGTCAGCGCACAAGGTGAGTGGGTTTTACATATGGTTTTTTATAAATACCCTTGCACAGGGTAGAATACCCTATCGGCTATCGGCAGACACCTACAGCGCATGAAGGGAAGCCTTTTAAACATAAATCTAAACAACACTACCAAGCTAATCCACAAGGGTATCTTTCTAGTCGAGCCTTGCTTTATTATATATTTTAGTCATATTCTCTGAAATCTGTTGTTATTGTTGCTGTTGTCGTTGTCATGTTATCTCTGCTCATATTTTGTATGTGTTTTCATTAAGAGCAGCAGAAAAAAAAAACCGAAAAAGATACCCAAACTCCGTCTGATTCACCCCATGCTAATTTATCTCGATGTCGGCGACGGCATTTTCGAGCCGTGAGATTTCTTTCGTGCCGTCTTTTACAAGCCGGAACTTCCCGAAGGTCTCTTCTGATTAAAAGAACAGCCACAATAAATGCGTGTTCGAAATTAAAAACTCGAAATTAAACTTAAACTGTTGTGAATTGTCACGAAAAAAAGACGAAAAGAAACGAAACGGATGCGCTTAGTAATAAAGCCCAAAGAAAAATAAAAACACGTACCAGACTTCCGTGCAGCTAACAAAACACGCGGCGATCTATGTACAGATTGTCAAAATTATCTCTGCCAAGAAGCTCCCGTTTTTAGATGTCTCCGTGTCCGTTGGATTTGTAGTAGAGATCTGCGAAAAAAAAAAAACAGAAAATGTTAAGACAAAGATTCCAACGATAGGAGAAGGGTCTACCTTTCATCTGATTCCTGGTGGCTTCCCACACCCCCAGGGCAGGTGACTTTTTCACTCCTTTTTCCAGATGTATTTGTTTTGTGTTGTGCAGAGATCTGCAAAAAGTAAAGGAACTGTGAATAAATTTGCAGTCTGACTAGAGTTTAAACAAATACGGGTATGCATTTAATCAACCATCACAGCAAATTTGGTTGCACCTGCAGTTGATTTCGACTTCTTGCCCCCAAGGGGGTGTGCAATTTTGATGGCTTGGCCTTTTTCGGCAACCTTTTTATGGCTCTGAAGCTTTGGGATGACTCCGTCGATTTTTTACAGTGATCTCAGTGAATGTCAATAAACATTTGGTCGTCCCGACAGCAGGGGTAAATATTGGGTTAACTGTTCGAGTGGGAATCGTATTCAGAAAAAGAGTTCTTAACCCAGATTTGAGGTTGTTTCGGCGAAAAACAGGACAGTAAACATTTGCTTTGAGTGCTGTTCTGACAAAAGAATCACCCACAGTTTGAGAGTAATTGAATTAAGCGTTGCAGTGTCTCGTACATACTATGCGCACATACATATGTAATACACGGTGGTATGTATACAAAATAAACATACCACAAGGCGGCTTTATTTTAATTAATCACCAAAAAAAGCAAACAAACACATTCGACTCGAATCTGTTACATCAGACATCGATATACATACATAATATGCCATGTATGTACAACCTTTCTTCTGCACAACGAATTCAAAATTCAAAAGCCGAGACCAAATTTTGTTGGGGTCTCAAAACAACAAAAGCAGCGCTAATAAAATTAACTTGCTAATGAAGCGATGATCACACCGCACACCTCGAACACACATACATACATACATACATACGTATGTAGTATACATACATATATTGATCAGAAATCAAGAAATACAACTTATGGAAATCTACTAGTCACATTTTTAAATGCAGAAACATTTTTGTCGCGCGTGTTAAAGCCAAAAAAACACTAAAGACAACAAAAGCAGAATGGGAAACAAGTTTCTTCCAGCGTTCCAACGTTCCACTATGCAAATCAAACAGTAAATACGAAATACAAGCACACACAAATACACACACACCCTAATGCACGACATGTGTAGTCGTATTGGTTATTTTGTAATAGGTTGAGATGAAAACGAAAGTGAAGCCGCGACCTGACTTTGAATGATCTCGCGCCGAACGCACACAGCCCTTTCTTCCATGTTGCCCTTGTTGTCGTCAATTTCACTTTTATTTCTGCCTCTGCATCTGCCCCTTCTTTTCTTTCCAGTAACCGAGTTGTTAACTTTATCGAATTAAAATAAATTCGTTTGCCACTGCCAACGCCACATGTACTCAAGCGAGCATGTGTGTGTTTGTGTTTGTGTATGTAGCATGCTTGAAGAAAGTGAAATGAGAAAGAAATGTGCACATGGGTAAAGTTGTGGCACAAGTTTTGCGCTCAAAATCATAACTGTAGTAGCGGTAACAGGTTGGCCGACTCGACTTAACAAACTCCAAACTTTTTGTCACAGTACCTGAAGTTTTCTCGACCGTCCCACCGGCCAGACGAAGCATTTCGGCGGCTGGATCTCTTGCCCGGGCCTGCCCGGCCGCAGACCCTATGGAAATAAATAATTGTTACTTTACATATCTATGCAAATTGGCATTTGCTGCATGCCATAATGATGAGAAACTTGCCAATGACATTGTTGTCCAACTCCACGAGCATTATTCCAGTGAAAATACACCGCACTATTTCAATTTCTGTAGAGAAAAGTTGCCCATTTTCCCGATGGCCAATTAAAATACATTCGCATTTCCACAGAGCACAGTTATTTCCGCTCAACTTTGCTGCACATTAGCTGTGGGCACTCTAAAAAGGAGCGAGAAACGAGTTTAGAGACACAAACAGGTGCAACAGTAGAGTTGCGGCTGGGCTGGTTGCTTTATATAATGTTCATTTGACTGAAATATTTCCCAAAGTCTGTATGCATTGTATGCATTGTTTAATAAATATCAATCAATTAATAATTTGTGCCTGAAAAATACGACGAGCTGGCAGCACCGATCGTCATCGGACCAGCTGATTGTTTGCAACGATAGTTGTATATGTAAATATATTTCAATTAAGTTGGCAGGATCATCAGTACAAGCTCTAATTCGTGAAATTCCGCAATATTCATGAAAAATGAAAAATACAAAAAAGAAAACGCCCAATTCAAAAACTCCCAATGCCATGAATATTGAAAAAGAATACGTCGTCGAAAAAATCCAAGGAAAGCGTTTCTTCCAAGGAGAAACGCAGTATTTTGTTAAATGGAAGGGCTTCGGGCCAGAGAGCAGCACGTGGGAACCAATGCAGAATCTTGGGAATTGCATCCATCTGTTGGCAAAATATGAGAACGATGTCTACTATAATAGTTGCAGCAAACCGGAAGAGCAAAAGCCTATTCAAATCTACGATTGGAATCAAAAAGGTGTCCAACTGAGCGAATCCAGTGCCGATGAAACATCGCCGGCTTTTGAACCAGTAACCCCACAAAAAAATCAAAGCGCGTTGTCAGCCACATCCTCCTCCTCCATCTCCTCCTCCTCTTCCTCATCCTCTTATACTTCCACCTCCGGGTCCTCAGCCACCTCTTCACAGTCAAGCTCTTCGCTTTCCCGACCCCAACCCCAACCCCAACCAGATCCAGTTCTGCCTACCAAGCAAACCAAACCCCCACCACAACCAGATCTCCCTACCAATAAAAAAAAAGTAAAGTTCGGCGACATACTGGATGCTGCAACTAAGCATAAGGAAGACGCAGAGAGGAAGCTATCTACGACCACCGAAAAAACTCACCTCAATAGCTCCCTTGAGGGTAACGAGGACTTTGTAAGAAAGGAATTATTTATTATTTAAAAGAAAAGGACATCAAACTGAATCCAAGAACTCCACTACTGTGGTTTCGTGTGACTGTTTGGTTTCCTTGCTTTCAAGCAGTAAAATCCATTTGATACTGATTACACTTTCCCCATAACAGAGTACTTCAGAGGATGAGGAGGATGAACAGGATGAAATTTCTGGTTTAGAGCTTGGGCTCAAGCTGGAAAGAGTGATCCACAAATTTCAAGTGAGAGATGATTTGTATCTAGTCGTAAGGTGGATTGGCCGCGATGTGCCTGATATGGTCCATATCGATGAAATAAAAGATTTATATTCACATGAAATAAATCAATATTTCCAGACTATTGAACGGATCAATGATGACCTGGTGAGTTCTGTGTCTGTCTGTTTGCGTGTGTGGATTTAGTTTAACCTGGCCCTGTGCCCATAACCTTAAACGCGCACTTCCGCTCATCGCCAGCTTCTCTTCATAGCTTTACAGTTCGACGCTCGCAGAATTTGAGCCATGAGCCATGAAAACTTCACTTTGCCTTCGGGTCAAGATAAATGCCATCGGAATACAAAAACAAAAACACAAGCGAAAACAAGGCATCTCCATCCGGTCTACCACCGAAACAACTTGCTGGAAACGTTTTCCTATATGCCACTTGCAATACTTTTGGATTCTGCATGGACCATGCACCATTCACAGGCACATATGCACCTGTATCTGCATTTTCTGCAATTCTTCATAAATCATTGATAATGTTAGGGCTGTGGCCACATGACAAATTGTTGTACGCATAGAACATGTTACTTAACAGATTTATGACTGTGCCAAAGAATATTTACGCCAGCTTCTTCAAGGGATACAGAATTCAGTGTAATGGAATGAATTCTCATACCCTACACGTGTCTACACTCACTCTGCTGTTTCTACAATTGTAGATTTCGTGCTCAAGATCAAGTTGCGAAAATTATGAGACTTCGGCTTGGGGTTTTTGGTTTCCATTTGGCTTATCTGTGGCATCTGTTGACAGCTGCTTCCAACGACGATGGCGACGACGCCTTTGCTTTGAACCTTTCGGCTTAGCAACTGTCGAATCACAGCTCTTATGTCTGCTTTGGCTCCTATCCATGGCATGTTCGTTTGGCTAGAACAAGCCAATAACTCCCTCGCACTATGTAGGCGTTTAAGACGCTCCATGGTTCGTTCAACCTGGGGCCAGAGTCCCAGAAAGAAGCCCGAAAACCTACAATTGTGATCTTGTATTGATGTGCTGAAGACAGAAGAGAGACATGCTCATGCTGCTCTCTGGGATGTGTGGTTGAATGGCTGTATCGCATTGCTGTAACCTTCAATCAGGCCTCGACTAGACCCATTCGAACCAAACTCAAAGCACCCAAGTGACATGTACACATGGATCGAGGGAGACACACCTAGACGGAGTAGCGCATGTTGACTGGACTAGCACTAGCACGCCTGTGGCGTGGTCAGGCTAATGTGTCCATTTGGCTGACGCTTGCGCCATTTCAATGTCATTTGTAAGCTGCCTGCCGCTTGCTGATTGCATATTTCAGCAGTTTACACAATTTTCTTGGATTGCATCGCACAGATCATAAGCGAACGCTTTTTGTTGTATTGCTCGAATGAATGTTTGCTTAGATTCGCAAATAAATATATCTGTTTTTATGGCTAATTAAATGACTTTGGCTGGACCCTGTAACTCGTTTAATAGCTGCTTGAATGGCTTACAGCTAATTACAACTTTTATTAAATTAAATTAAAGTGTTTAGAGCAGAGGTCAGTCGTTAGTTTGAATTTTAAAAAACATTTAAATCCGTTAACTAAAGCTAGGGTAATCACAAAAAGGCAGTATAAAGTGACAGATCAGCACGGTCTTAATTCAATCTCTTAGTCTTCATGAAGCACAGCTTCATAAATGAGATATGATTTATAAGTAGCTAATATTTCGATTTGTGCTTGGGGTCCATCTAAATTTTAGTGTTTTTTTGGTTGGGTTATTTGGGTTTACCCTTAGTTTGGTCAGGGAATTATCACGTTCATATGCATACATTAGCGCATAATATAATCAATTATCTCTGTATTTTTACGTCCAAGGCGTGCTGGCACTCGCAGCCCAGCGATCTATTATTATTTTCCATTATTGCTGTGCAATTTATTTGCTGATTTCTGTGTTTCTGGGCTGCCTTCGACTTTTGCGTTCATTGATTTATGTCTGTATTGGATTTAGGCCCGCTCTCCGTGGCATTTGCTGTTGTCGCTGAGGTTGGAACTAGTTTTGCCTTACATTCTCGTATGTGTATGGCATTTTCGAGGAGTGGAGTGGAGTGGCTAGCAGATAGGAAAAGGGAAATTAGATCTGCAAAATATTTAGCTTTATTAATTGCCTTACCAAAATTATTCAAATTGCATATCAAATGTCAAATCTTCGGCAGCAACAATTTTAATTTCCTCCGCTCAAGACACCGAAAAATAGTAAATTTCCTGATTATGAAACCTCTTGTGTGTGTGTGTATAAATTTTGTTTTGTGTTAGCCAAAAATTTGCATTTAATTTCAGTCTTTTTGTGGCTGGCATTACAACAACACACAGTGGGCTGCAATGTGATAATTTTCTCGCTCGTTTGACCATTTTTGGCTGTGGATGTAATTACGCCCAAGGCAGCACCAGCAGCAGCAGCGGCATCGGCAGCCTCATTTATGACGCTTTGCATATGCTAGACATCAAATCGGAAAGAAACCAAAAATGTGTTTTCTATGTTGTGGTTGTTGTTGTAATGCAATTTGTTTAACGCTTCGTTTATTACCAAAAACAGCAGCGATTTGAGGTTAGATGTGTGGCAGCAGCAACAACAACTTTCGGGTCGCGTAGGCAGAGCTGATCCTCTCTCTCTGTTATTCTCTTGGTATACTCTCTTGGGTTTACTGTAAATATATGTGTTCCTCCTTTGCCTTTTCTGCTATGTGTGTCTCCCTTGCGCGCAGTTGTGCGAATTGCAGCTGCCTCTTTCTCTCATCTCTCTGCTCGCCATGTCCATGTCCCTGCCATTGTGTGAGTGTGTGTGTGGGTGTGACTGTCTTGGGTTATTATTTGGTTTGACAGTTTAATATATTTGGTTATTTGTTCGGTGTTCGTTTTGTTGTGGCACGGCACGAGTCACAATTTGTATTTCTCGTTGTTATCTCTTCTGTGTTGTTTGTCTGCTTTGTGCCTTCGGGTTAGAGGTTATTGGAACAGCAATTATATGTGGTTGGTGCGGCTGCTGTTGTTGTTGCAATTGCCTTGCATTTATGTGTGTGCGCTGTGAGAGGGAGACAACAAAAGCTGCTCGAGATGGGGGTCGGATTGCCCAACCTGTCTGTGCGATGATTAGCCTGATGGCGATATATCGGTTTACACATCGTTTGGCTTCATTACAAGTGATTGATTGTTTGGATTTATGGTATATTTATCATGTGGTTGCTGGAAATCGTACATATGTATATGAGAGCTGTGAAGACCTAATGGAGGCATTTTGACTTATCCGTCCATGAATCTGTTCCTACTCAATTAAAAATTTGTTCCGTCTCAGAAAAATCTAGGGAAAGTATACAACACTAGTAAGGCCTTATAAAACCAACATTTAACGATGTAACTGGCCTTGTGGCTTGATCTAGTAAAAAGTTTATTTGGTTTCTCTGGCCCCCAAGCTCATTCGTCCATGCCAAGTGCATCCTCAGCCGCAGGTGACCTTGCTTTGTTAATATCTGGTTTTTGGGCTTTATTTGGGTACACACCACGCCCTCAGAACGCCAGACGCCGCGGGCTGTCTTCTCCGGCTGCCTTTGTGTTAATTTCACGCCCGTTAAAATAATTAAATTTGCCTTTGTTTTCGTTCACTTTTACGGGCACTCTGATTTTCATTTTTACTGCAGCATTCAAATTAGTTTATATAGTTTCATGTATTTTTCGTTGATCTTTTTCTTTACAGGTAAAATTAGGCTCTAGCAATGGGAATAACAACAAAAAGCAGATGCGGAAAGTTCAGGGTCGACGCTCTTAAATTTACTTTCCTTTTCTTAGTTTTTATCATTGTCATATCTTTTTAAAGTATTTACAGCAATGTGTATTTACTCGAATGTGCCGAAAGTACCTTCTTTCACACATAATTTGTATGCTCTCGAAGAGCTTCTATGAAGAACTTGTTTAAATATTATTAAGAAATTATAGACTATAGTTTAAAGTTAGTACATTACGTTGGACGGATGTACTAAGTTGTCATACCGTTTTGAGTTTGAGAACTCAGTCAGATCAATTACTTATCACAATGAATTATTAAGAAATTATAGACTATAGTTTAAAGTTAGTACATTACGTTGGACGGATGTAACTACGAAGGAATCAATGAAACTAGCTATTATTTGAAACAATGAGTTTGTTATACCGTTTTGAGTTTGAAAACTCAGTCAGATCTATTACTTATCACAATGAATTATTAAGAAATTATAGACTATAGTTTAAACTTAGTACATTACGTTGGACGAATGTAACTACGAAGAAATCAAAGAAACTAGCCATTAATTGAAACAATGAGATTGTTATACCGTTTTGAGTTTGAAAACTCAGTCAGATCTATTACTTATCACAATGAACAAAGAATTTGTTTAACAATTTTCCAATAAATATGTGTATTAGTATGGACATTGTTCTATGTGACATCTGATACTTTTTGAGCATATTCATGGTCAAACGGGGCATCGATCGTTTTGAAAAATCACTAACCCACATCAGCCGCATGGCATGGCTCTCAATGTTCAGTGCTGTATCGAATATCCTATTCTAGCCGGACCAAAAAAATAAAATTGAACTTCCATTGAATTCGCGCAGATACTTTGCCCAAATGTCAATGGGTTGTTAACCAAAATTGCGATTCAGACAAACCAAACCCCCTCGCACTCTTCCGGCAGAAGTGGTTGACATTTTTGCTTGACTTTTTGAATTATTTCCAGCAGCACTGCGTTGCGGCGGGGCAAGGGAAGGGAAATTATTTTGCATTGGAATTTCTTTTGTTGCTCTTTCGGGGTGTGTTCCGCTCCAATGGAATGGGGCGGAGCGGAGGGAGACTGAATTGATAAAAAATGAGCTTTATATGTAAATTTCGGCAATTTTCACTGCATTCTTTCGATCCGAGTTGAGGTTGGTTCGGGTCTGACAAGTGGGCGCTGTTCAGGTGGGTGGGATCATGTTGAAAATATCTGGGGAGTCACTTAATGGCTGCATTCTTGAATTCATTTTAAGCAACATTTCAAATAATTTCAATTTTAAGAAGATAGAATGATGCCTGTATGGATGGATATGCCTGTTGCCATCCTGCTTCCTCTCAAGCGTAACACAGGCTTTGTCTCGCTTTGGTATATTTTGTAGGTTTCTTTTGGTATTTTCTACGCCTACGATTTCCGCTTTTCGCCCAGCTACAAATGTGCAGCATTTTGTCTACGCGAAACGCTTGTGGCATGACTCACAGGCACCGTTACTGCCAATGTAGATGTCGTTGCCACGCCCCATTGGAGTGCATTGAACGCAATTACTTCTCTTTCTCGTTTCTCGCTTCGGACCCCACTCGAATTGCCATACACCTTTTCGCTTTTCTTTTTAATTGGGATTTCTTGTGTTTTACTGCCTCTCTGCTTTGGCAACTGCTTTTCCACAACGTTTTCTTTCTGCATTTGTTTCGTTTCACTTTCGCGTCGCCAACTTGTTGCAACTGTGCCACTCGGCTGCCAGTTGGGCGTTGCTTTTACGGCTTCCCACTTGGCCGCACCGCCGACCACAGCACCCCACCAGCCCACCAGCCCCCTAGCATCGAACTGTGGGGGTCCGAGTCGGTGGTCATTTGGGTGCCGCGCACTCGAGCAGAACTCGTGCTGCAAATCGCGGATTTCTTTTGACAATTTGTGGCAGGCGGTCGCATAAATCATAAACCGAAATCCAACATTTTTGGCAAAAAAGAAAGTGTTGACACTAAGCGGAAGCGTTGCTGGAAGGGCAGTTGAGGCAGTTGCCATTCGCCAAAGGGGCGAAAGTCGCAGCAAATTGAGTGATTAACACAATGCGAGGGGGGGAGGGGTAATATGTTAAAAAATATATAAAAGATTGCATAAGAGGTGATCAAGAAAAATGATCTATGGAAAAACCAACCCACATTTACTCATATTCATATGTAGATATGTATATTTCGCTGGCTCTGACGTTTCTCGATCGATCTCTGAGGTTTCCCACAGTTTCCACACAGATGCACCGGACCGGGCTGGCCCCGCACCGAAATATCACTCAATTAACCCACTAATAACCAATCAAATGCAGCTCTGACCCCGGCATAATATCCCAGTGATTCATGCCGCCGACTGACCCGACTGACTCAGACACCCCAAGTACAAGATGTAGATATCGTAAGAGTTCGTATGTTTGGCCATACCCATAGCCATAGCCATAACCATGGCCACATGAATGGGACAACCACCCGCTGGGTTGTGGGCACTCCGAACAAGCAGAAATCGTATGGGCCATGCACGGCTGATGGCTCGTACCTCTGTCCGAGAGTCCGAGAGTCCAAGAGTCAGTGACATAACAAGCGCAAATATTTTGAAAAAAGAAACCAAGCACCAGGTGTGTGTGTGTTGTGTCGTGCCATGTCCATTCTTTGATGGCTGGAACGGGAACGGAACCGAATTGAACTCTATGCCCTACCCAGAGCCAATCGAGTGTGGCAAAATTGTTCAAATCCTTGACCCATTTGTTTGACTTCTCTCTCTCTCTTTTTCTTGCTTTAGCCATTTCGGCATTTCCGTTTCTCGTATTGCAAAGTGCAAAAAATAAAACTCCGGTGTTCGTACATACTCCGTTCCTTCGTACACTCGACTCCATTCAATTTGCAGTCATTAAAGCTTTTCGGCCCCATAATTATAAACCTAAAATGACGCCCCAAAATACGTATATTTTCGCTTGCGGTCTGAGGTTTTATTTTGTATATTTTTTATGTATTTTTTGTGTCACATTTCTGCTGTTAAATTAGCGCTTCAGGAAATGGAGGGAGGGAGGGAGTTTAAGCTGTCCATTAACCCATTTTGGTTAGCGAAATATTGAAAGGGAGGAAGATTATAGAAGGGTCTGCCATTCGCGGATATGGCAAGAAGAGCAAACAAGTTTGTGCCCTAAGTCATTCGTTTCCTTTGTGGCCTTTTGTAACTGGAAAATTATGGGCCCAGCTACTGCAAGCGCAGGAACAGGCGCAGGCGAAACCTGTAGTAAAAATATGCAGTTATCCTTGAGATTACGGTTCATCAGCGAGGCTCTATAAATATATACAAGGAGAATATGGGTACTCTCTCCCTCTCTGTCTTTCTCTCTCAGTGAGTCGCAGAGCGGCTTTTCAGCAGGAAATGATGCCCAAAAGCAGCAGCAGCAACAGTAACCATAAACACAAACAGTTGCCAATTTGGCAGCAACAACAAACACGATGAAGTGGAGGCCTAAAAGCCTGAAAGCCTGAGAAGAAGAAGCAGCCGCTTAACGAGCGGCATGCATAAAATATGCCCTTTGTGTGTCGGGACATTGCATTGCTGATCTCCTGATTGCAGCCGGTTGTCGGTCCCGGTTTCGGTCCCAAGAAGCAGAGTTTTTAATAAAAATGTCAAGTCTTATGAGTGGGCAGTATGAATGGACGGCCAGGCGGGAAGCGGGTGAATGCGAAACGGGTAACAATGAGTTGGCAATTATCGAGCTCCTTGGCTAATACGGATATGGTACTTACTTAAGGACTGACTGGGAAAAGAAGGCTGTTGGGGAGCCCCAGAGAATGTCTCTCTGAATACACAGCTTTACCTATTAATGCACTGATTGTTATGTTCACATGTAACCACTGCTTTCTAAACAGCTGACCTCCGAAGAACAATTTTCAATCAGTGCTTACAATCACTTGGTAATGGCAACTGATCGATTAACTTTTGAGCACAGTCCCATTAGTGATTTATTTCGTGCGCCCACATCAGAATCCTCCCACTCCAAGGCAAACCATGAATCCAATCCAGTCAGTCATCAGCTTTTTAGGTGAGTTTCATATTCACATAAGTAGTCCTCGGATCAAGGCATTTCAGCCGCCATCAGTCGATCTGCCAGAGAAGTGCATCATTTGGCAAAAGAATTCAATTCAGAGTGTGTTGGCGTGAGGAGAAGCAGGCAAAGGAGGCCAGAGACGTCGACGGAGTCCCACTTCAAAAGCCATTCAACTCTTGATTGACGGTGGCAGTGGGGACCGCACTCTCAAGTGTTATTTGCTTTAATAACCACTCGAGAATTGCATATCTTCGTGCGGACGGAGTGGTGGTGCGCTGGTGCGCCGGTCGTTGACCCTCCATTTGGTGGAAGCCAATTCCGATCCACTTAGCGGCTTCAGAGGGCTCAGAGTGCCCAAAGCACTTGGCGACTCATTGAGCTTTGAGTATGGCTTCTATGCGTATGATATCTGGCCCACGCCTAGTCACGCCCAATTTCGAGTGGCACCCGCAGCCAAATGAAGCCTCAAGCCCCCAAAGAATATGCAAATGCGGTGGGAGAACAAAAGCAAATCAAAGTAAGCCCCAAAGAGGGAATCAAAGAAACCTTGCTGTTCACACAATAAATCACGACAACCAGAACAGCCATACCCATAGCGATAGCTCTGGCTCTGGCTATAGCCATTGTAATTACAACAGCAACGGCAACAGCAACAGCAACAGCAACAATAGACATCTGGCCGACAAAACTAAGCCAAGACTGTTGACCATTTTGTCGCTGAAGCGTGCGGCAAAATGTTTTGTTTTGTTTTTTTCTCTTGTCTGTGTCTGTGTCTGTCTTTTGTAGGGTTATTCTTTATATTCGCCAAAGGCAAAGACAAACACGCAGAAAAAAAGGAGGCGAAATTATGCGGAAAATTACAATGCATAGAAATTTTGTGCCGTTGAGCGACAGATCTAATCGTGAATTATGTATTTCTGGGTGTAGGCTAAGGTTGCATAACCTATCCCTTGATATTTTATGTCTTCGTATTGTCCAAAGAGAAAGAGAGACACAGAGAGAGTTTATGGATCGGTTATGCAAGATCAATGATCAAGAAATAATCTCAAAATTGATTTCACATTTGCCATTCTCTTTCCAACGCTCGAAATCATTTCAAAATTTGCCCTCGGAGAACACAGAATAACGGCCGAAGAGGGGAATAACTAACCATTAATTTTTGGTACGGTGGTAAATGATCCTTCTTGGCTATGAAGATAAAATAGAGCAGAAGTGAGCTTTTAATAGGTACTAACCCGTACTAACAAAAGATATTATTACTGATCTGCCAAGTGTTCACACGGCTTGATCTCCAATTCAAGTGCCTAGAACAGGTATGATAATCTGTTTACCCAAGAACCTCCATTCGATACATCTAAAATCCCCCCATTCCGGGCATAACTCTGATTTAATGCAATAGACCAACCGCAAGGCAAGGCAAGGCAAGAATGTACTCCGTCAGACAGAAAAACAATCCCTTTTGGCCATATAGCCAGCCGTTGATGCCATGCCAAAGTGAATTCTCGTTGCCACTTGCATTTAAATGGAAACAACTCACTTAGTATGGCTGTTGCGCCACTTCACTCGGTGGTAAGGTTGGAGCAGACACAGAAACAGTAACAGATGCAGATG